GGTTACTTAGGAGGTCTTGGCTCCTGATATTTATTTCCACAATGAAACTCCTCCCTCCTTAACTTTTTTTTTTTTTTTTTCCGGTACGCGGGCCTCTCACTGTTGTGGCCTCTCCCGTTGCAGAGCACAGGCTCCAGACGCGCAGGCTCAGCTCAGCGGCCGTGGCTCACGGGCCTAGCCGCTCCGCGGCATGTGGGATCTTCCCGGACCGGGGCACGAACCCGCGTCCCCTGCATCGGCAGGCGGACTCTCAACCACTGTGCCACCAGGGAAGACCCCTCCTTAACTTTTAAGGTACGTTAACTTCTGCTCTTTGCAAGTGGAAGCGTTTAACTAGAGGATTCCCCAGTTGTGATTGGAACAAAATGACATGACATCACTTTGTTTCTCTGCTTCCATCTGGATTAAGTTAGCAACTATAAAACAGGAGTTTCCAGCTGGTTCTCTGCTCCAGGAAAGCAGGTAGTGATGAAAAGAAACCAGACCCTAACTCTGGTCATATATACATGTTTCATGCGACTAAAGCAGGATTAATTTCAGAGCTGGTCCTATAAATAAAGTATGACCGTGAAAATTCTTTGCATTTCACCATTAAAGATGACTCAAAATTCAAATCCAATCTTATAAGGTAATAATAGAATGGCTGAGATTTGTTTATATTAATGCTCACTGAGTAGGGAGTAAAAAAGGATCTCAAATTTTTAAAATATTATATATGTATCACTTTTTTTGCTTATAAAAATTATAAGTCCTTAGAATCATGTAAATATATATTGCTAGTTACTTGGTCCAATATACTTATATTTTATTTAATAAGCTCATCCTTAGGGCTGTTTTTTCCTCCCCCTTAGGGCTAACTCTTGAAGAATTAATTTCTAATGCAACACTTAATGCTTTTTAAAAGACAATACTGTATAGGAGCTGTGAAAGTGCTTACATTGCTATGTATTAGGAACTGGACAAAAACTTAATGTGAGAAAATAATAGTAAATAATAATAAATTACATTTACAAAACATTAGCTATGTAGCAAGAACTTAAAATGCTTTACTTAAAATCTGATTTTTATTTCTCACCACTTACCCTACAGGGTAAACATTATCCTCATTTCATTGTACTTTGTCACTGTGGTTATGAAATCCACTAAATAGTATTATAACTGAATATTTGCATCAATTACTTGAGCCTATTTTTTCATTTATATAGGACATTTATCAGACTGACAAATAGCCATTCCCGCATTCAATAGCTCTAGCCCCAAGTTTTCAGCTAAGCAATAGTTCTATTAATTCTATTTCTTTAACAATGATACTATCAAGAGAGAGTTGATTAGTAGCTACTGTAAATGACCTGCTAAATTTTTCTCCAGTCCTTAATAGCCTTAAAGTTTACATATACACTCCCACAGTTGGAATGGCAGCATGAGGAGCCCCCATGAAAAAACCTAACTGGTGACAATGATTTTTTAAAAAAACAACCACTTAAAAATCTCTGGAGGGCTTCCCTGGTGGCGCAGTGGTTAAGAGTTCGCCTGCTAAAGCAGGGGACACAGGTTTGATCCCTGGTCCAGGAAGATCCCACATGCCGCAGAGCAACTAAGCCTGTGTGCCACAACTACTGAGCCTGCGCTCTAGAGCCCGTGAGTCACAACTACTGAGCCCGCGTGCCACTACTGAAGCCCACGCACCTAGAGCCTGTGCTCTGCAGCAGGAGAAGCCACTTCAATGAGAAGCCTGCGCACCGCAACGAAGAGTAGCCCCCGCTCGCCGCAACTAGAGAAAAGCCCGCGCACAGCCACAAAGACCCAGTGCAGCCAAAAAAACTGCACATAAGATTATACATACCAAAATTAGAATGTTGCAAATTCTAAGAGACTTCTAAACAGAAATGATTCAGAGATGCTTTTATGTTAAATTCAGCAAATATGGTTCTAAAATGCTCCCCCTTTTTTTAAATTACGGAAAACAAATATAATGCTTAGAAACCTTAATGGATGGAAAATGGCTGAATCAAATACATTCCTTTGCAATTTTCACAACTAACTTTATTTAAAGTATTAATTTTACACATTCCAAAACTAAATAACGAGCTATTATTTCAATAAGAATTACTTGCAACTTTTCAGAGGTGTAATTTTAATACATATTGGGATCTAAAACTATTAGCAAATAGCAACAATAGAGAATGTATATTTTAAAAACTGGACAAATGAGATAATATATTGTGATGTAAATCAGGAAGTAGTTATTTGCTTTACAATAGGTTCTTGAATACACAGAATAGTTCATATTATATGCCCTTTAAATATTCATGCATTTAAAATAAATTTACCAAGAAATTGATTTACATACAACTTTTAGAAACCCCAACAATTTTATAAAGAGAGACACTACTTTTACCCACAAAAGGCAACAAAATGTTTTAACAGTTCAAAAATAGAAAGGGCCAAAACCCAACTGATTTCTCCAAAACAACAAAGTTTAACAAGATGGCTATTCACTGTTCAAGAAATTAACAGCCTATTTTTTTAAAGCGTATTTTTCAGCCCCAACTTGTCAAAGCCCCACTTTGACCTCCATTTCTACTTTTCCTTGAATCAATCTAGACTGTACGGAAGTGTCATAACATTAGGCTTTTAGCAATTTGGGTTAATGTCCTGAAAAAACATGCTGTGTATATACTCAGAAAGTAATGAAGAAAAAAATTTAGAAGTGCAATGCATACTCCATAGGCTGTAAAACCCTACCAGTCTAACAAAAAGCACCGAGACACAGATGCCAAAGTTAGAGAAAATGTAAACCAGCAGAGTCAATATCATACACCTTATCAAGTTTTACTTATTCTATCGTTTGGCATTTGAGAAGCTAAATAAATTAATTTAGCAGGCTAGAAATCCCATCACTACCCTTAACAAAGATTTGCTTACCAATGAATTAAAGTTAATAGTGAAAATAGCATAGTGAGGATTCTTTCTCTGTGCTTAATGATGAGGAAAAAGTTACCAAACTTTTCTTATGAAAAAGTAAGAAATGGATAATTTTTTTTTGAAAATAAAAAGTAAACTTTTATTTACTTTTAACCTTCTTATTTTAACCTCCTCATTAAGGCACTTATTTCAATAGTTTTGCAACATCAAGGGCAAAGTATTTATGTTTTGTATTTCTTTGAGAAATTCCTTCTACCCCAAACCCATAAACTTTGCCCCTTTCACAGTAGATCTTTATTGTCATACCTAAGAACGGTAAGTTACCCAAATGGAATTACTTGCAGAATTCTTAATCATTTGTTACTCTACAAATAAGGAAATTAATTAAATGCTCCTGAAAGTTTTCTAGCACTATTGTTTTAACTACAGCTAAAATAGAAGCAAAAAAGCTTATCTTTCATACCCAGTATTATTATTTCTATAATAAGGTTCACATTTTTCTTTTCAACTGATGCTGAGTGAAAACTTCATTATTTAAAAAATTCAATTAAAAACGGATCCAAATCTATTTAAGAAATAAGTTGACAGAAGCAAAAGCAACTTACTAATACGTCAAAAACAAAAAACATACAACAATCAAAACTAATTCAGCATATTTGATCATGAAGTAAATCAATAAAAATTCAATTAAATATCTCATGCTACATAGAAAGTAGGTTGTTCTATTTCCCTTTCAAAATATGTGAGCTGGGCTTCCCTGGTGGCGCAGTGGTTGCGAGTCCACCTGCCGATGCAGGGGACACGGGTTTGTGCCCCGGTCCGGGAAGATCCCACATGCCGCAGAGCGGCTGGGCCCGTGAGCCATGGCCGCTGAGCCTGCGCATGTGGAGCCTGTGCTCCGCAACAGGAGAGACCACAACAGTGAGAGGCCCGCGTACCGCAAAAAAAAAAAAAAAAAAAAAAAAATATATGCAAGCTGACTTTTAAATTACATTGTTTTACATGCTCCCTCTAATTTTAAGTACTACCATGTGACTATTCACTGTTTACTTAGGTAACTATGGTAATATTTTCGTAAGGCTTGAAGCTAAATACTAGTGACTCACTATTAAGATGTACAGAGAACCTGAAATAACCTGCCTGTAGCTATCTTAATATAATTGTTAAAAGTTATATAAAAACGTGAAATGAGAACCAGTAAAACTAACGCACCAGACGTATGACACTGCCATCAAACAATTCTTAAGCTCCAAAAGAACAAAACATCTTAGAGCTAATCTAAGAATGCATGTGCTTTTGTACTTTTAAAATATATATTACAGAAAATAAAGAAAATGGAAAGATGTTCCTTTCTAACGTAGTAATTCAGAGTAATGAAATTGCAATTTTTACAGCACTCTAACAAGTGAAAAAATTTAAAATCTGTTCACTTAACAGGTGTATAAGGTAAAACTGAATATGTATCCCATCTTATTAAAATGATACATCCATCCTGAATCTCTTTATAAGGCCAAATTAATCATTTAGAATTTCTTTTAATTAATAATTAAAAATATGAAAACATTTAACTTAAAGGAACATAACAGATTGTGGAACTGTGCTCTGAATTTTATTATAATTGTCATTTTGTTCTTAATGTTCAAGATTGTATCATCGTTTCATAAATAACAGCACTTGTGTTTTATCATAAATACACCTCTATGCAGAGGTATGTTAAACAGCACCTGCACATATCTCCAGAAATTGTTGCTCACTTTAGTTGCTCATATTCTCATTCTGATAAAGATTTAATTTTTTACTTAATACTTCAATAGAAAACATGTGAATAGATTATATACTCCATATCCATATTTTTTAAAAACCTAACCAACATACTTTTATTTTTTTCTTATTTTTAAATTTTGAACATTCTTTTAAATGTCTGTTTTAAAAAATATATAGGTGGGCTTCCCTGGTGGCGCAGTGGTTGAGAGCCCACCTGCCGATGCAGGGGACACGGGTTCGTGCCCCGGTCTGGGAAGATCCCACATGCCGCGGAGCGGCTGGGCCCGTGAGCCATGGCCGCTGAGCCTGCACGTCCGGAGCCTGTGCTCCACAACGGGAGAGGCCACAACAGTGAGAGGCCCGCGTACCGCAAAACAAACAAACAAACAAACCAAAAAAAAAAAAACATAGGTAACAAGAGTTACTGTTTTATCATGATTAAATTGGTATCAAATTTATGGGCGTAAGTGAAAAAACTAACCACTTAATAGTCATAAAGTGATGAAATGCAATATCATACACCGTATATGACTAAGAAAGTGCTCATTTACATAAGCAGCAAATGAGGAGAGCAGTATCGTGGAAAATCTGGATATATCTTTATGTATATCCTTAAAAATCACTTTCCTTTATATAATTTCCATTTTAATTTAAATGCCACAAATTTTCAGTGAACATTTAAATTAGTTTTTTATTGTAATATTTCAGTTCTATTATACACCATGAAATACCTTCAGAAACTTTCTTGAGGGAAAGAATAATTCTTTCCTTCTATTCTATAATTATACCACATTAATTATTTATTAAATGTTATATTTGAGATATATACTCTGACCTTGAACATATTCAAATTCAAGACTAATGTTATGATGGAATGAAGATTTATGAGGAAAATTTTACAATAGTTTAGAAGGTAAAACCTTTAAAGACCATGTAGCAGTAAGGAAGACACCTGGCTGGAATGATGCAGAGTGGCAGGTTTGACATTTTACCAAAGGACAGTAATGTTTGATCTTCTTTCCCCCACAGAATTCTAGATCCAGTTAACAGCAGGAGGGGAAAAGCAGCAGCAACATTTCAAATGTCCATACTCTGATTTCCAAAAGACACCACGTAGGTAGAAGAAAATTGCATTTTACTTCAGGTGGTATAAGTCTTTGAAATGAAGGCTCTGCTATTTTTCAAGACTGAAAGGATATCACAGTGTTGATTTTATACACAAAGTAGGATCTGTTCCAGTATACTCTAGTGAAATAATTCACATAAGGAGAATAGTTAATTTTGACCTCATGACAAAATCTTCCATGTTTTGAGTAGGTTATCTTGTCACCTTCTTCACAAACCACCTATCAAACGATATGAAACAAAATATTAAAAAGCTTATTAAGCTTACAGGAGAAATGCAATCAATGTACAAGTGATGATATTTATATGAAGAAATATATTATTGCTAAACATGGACTATCTCACATTGGTTAGCAAACATCTCATATTGTTCAGCAAATAAAAGCCTCTTCATAAGAGTTACCATGTCCACTAAATTCTTGAGCTTCCCATTGAGATTGAGAAATCAGTATAAAGTGTTTTCCAACTTTTAAAAGATTTAATCCTGAAATTTAGAAGGCTATGTCTCCATAGTCTACTATCATTCCTCTGAAGAACCTTATCATGGAGCCTGCCAAGGCTGAGAAATGGACATATACTCTTTTTTTTTTTTTTTTTTTTGGACATATACTCTTAATGTATATTCATACTCTTCTCCTTGTGCAGGACTGATTCACATTAGTAAGCAAGTTTCTGTGACTTATCCAGTACAATCCTTTACATTTTCACCTTAATGAGGTTCACTAAGAGAGCTTAGCTGGCTTGAAGAGTTTTCTATAATAAAATACTAAATATTATTCTAATGCCTAGGAAAGATGTCAGAGAGTCAACTTTAAGAATAAAAGGATGGATTCGCTTTAAGTCCATGCCTGGCATTACACGAAAGAAGAAGTAACCTGATCTTCAAAATGGAGCAAGAGGGTAGCCAAGAGCAGAGGATAAGGCTCTAGACAGCAGATAGCAATACAGGAGTAATTACTGAATACCTGATGTTTAATAAAATTCCATTTTGTCACCAATTAAGCCAAAGACCACAGATATCAAGTGCCAACAGAGAAAATTCAAAATACATACAGCAGAAAACAGAATAAGTTTATATTATAAGATTAAGGGGTCATGAAGAGAGGGAAAGGTGGAAATCATAAAAACTAATTTCTCGGGACTTCCCTGGAGGTCCAGCGGTTAAGACTCTTGCGTGCGCTTCCACTGCAGGGGGCGTGGGTTCAATCCCTAGTTGGGGAACCAAGATCCCACATGCTGCAGAGCGTGGCCCCCCCAAAAATACCCAACAAACTAACTTCTCACCTCCAAACTGGTCTGGGATGATTACGACAAAGAGCTAATTAATTAGGAAGGGACAGAAAAAGTCTTGGCTGCAACCTGAATAGAATATGCACTCCAAACAAGAATGACCTACTGAACTATGCCTAAGATCCTTCACCCCCAACTTTCCCAGGAGTAAAGGCACCCTTTCCAGTGCCTAATTATCAGATATACAAACACAAATTACCAGATGTGCAAACTCCCCTGTCAGTCTTAGTTGCCAGGTATACAGTATACACTGTAGGCTGAGAAGTAAGAAAGCTTGGTAAAATAGCTAAAATCAATGAAAACTTAAGATACGGTTAAATCCTAACAACTAAAGTAGCTCTGAATACACTAATTTTTGTGGCTAATAGGGACCCAATATACAGGACTGTGTCAATTTAGTAAGCAATTTTTCTAGATATGTATCAAATTACAAGAAATTTCTCAACATAAGAATATAACAAAACAAACGGCTGCTCTTTATAATATGTTAAAATAAAATCATCATTCAAAACAAACTATCTTTTGTTTATAAATGTTGAACATGCACAAGTACAGGCAACAAATAAGGAATCGAGATATTGGTAAACTTTTTTTTGCAAAATTGCCCAACTTTTCTTTTGTACATTGAAAAAATAGTTCAAACTACTTTTAATAAGCTCCCCCCACTGTTATATAACTTTTAATTATATTCTTAGTTAAGTTCCAAAAATAAAGTTTGAAAATACTTTTATAAGTTTAAATAAAGTCATTTTTCTCAAAAAAATTTAATTTTCCAAATGGTTACTTACGTGGCCATTTGCAATGTCTAATAAATCTTTAACCCTACAGCCCCTCACGGTTCCCACCTCATTGCAGATAGCATCTTCTACAATTAGGTAATTAGCCTTGTAGGATGTCAGTATTTTATAAATATCCTCAGCAGATCGCTTTGAATAGATTTGATAGATCTGAAAGAATATAATTAAAACAACAACTTTAAAAGGCATTTAAAACTTCTGTTTATCAAAATTATACATTAAGCCTCTACTACGTTCTTAGTACTATCTGTGGAAAATAAAGATATTCACTAAGACTTGATTCCTTCCCTCAGGAAGCTTATATTCATCTGCTATTGGCCACTTGTGTATCTTCTTTTGAGAAATGTCCATTCAAGTCCTTTGCCCATTTTCCCCCAGTTTTATTGAGATATAATTGACATATAACATTGTGTAAGTTTAAGGTGTACAACATGTTTATTTGATATGCTCCTATGTTGCAAAATGATCAGCGCCATAGCTTTAGCTAACACCTGCATCATGTTACATAATCGCCATTTCTTTTTTTGGGGAAAACATCTAAGATCTACTCTCAGCAACTTTCGAATATACAATACGGTGTTATTAACTATAATCACCATGCTGTACATTAGATCCCTAGAGTTTATTCATCTTATAACTAGAAGTTTGTACTCTTTGACCAACATTTCATTTCTCCAACCCTCCCAACCCCTGGCAACCACAACTCTTCTGTTTCTATGAGTTCAGCCTTTTTAGATTCCATATATAAGGGATATCACAGAATATTTGTCTTTTTCTATCTGACTTACTTCACTTAGCGTAATGCCCTCAAGGTTCATCCATGTTGTTGCAAATGGCCTTTGTCCATTTTTCAAATTGGGTTGTCTTTTTATTATTGAGTTGTAATTGTTCCATTACTTTTTTTTTATTACCATGTATCATAGTATTTTATACTCATTTTATACATGAGATAAAGTCAGTGAGGTTAAAAATAATTTGACCCTTGTCACAAATACTGGAAGAACAGGGATGCATGCTTAAAACTCATGTCTTGATTACGTGGTGTTTTCCATTACAATTTTGCTGACCTTATTAGATAATAAGCTTTGGATCTTATAATACGTTTTTCAGGTTTTCTGAAACGTTAACCTTGGATAATCACAAAAGTTAGGCCAAAGGTATCATATACTGTTTGTTGTGAAAATACTGAGATTTGCAACCTAGATTGGACAAGATTCCAGTCTACCTGCAGAATATTCAGCAGGTGCTTACGACATGTTACGCCTGCTGTCTATCTAGCAACTTTAGGTCCAATGTCCATTGAGGTGCTAGAGATATTCATTCTGTGGAACACAGAATGTTAATAAATCAAGAGGAAGTTTCTCACTCATTTCACTTTGTTAAATAAGTTCATGTGAATGGTTCTATCTTATCCAGCTTATACTTATCTATAGTTTTTTATATATATTTTTTTACTTATTTTTAAGTTTGGGGAAACTGTAACATACTACTGGGGCCTATAAAAAACACCTCTATGCAATGGCAATAACATTACTGTTAGACTAGAGTGAGGTTTCTCAACCTCAACGCTATTGATATTTTGGGCCAGATAATTCTTTGTCAGGACAGAATGGAAGGCTGTTCTGTACATTGGAGGATGTTTACGAGTATCCCTGGTCTCTACCCACTAGGTGTCTGTAGAACCCCTCCCCTAGCTGTGACAACCAAAAATGTCTCCAGACATTGTCAAATGTCCCCTGGGAGTACCATCTTCCCAGGTTTGAGAATCACTGGCCTATAATCACTGATTATAAAGATTAGTCCCATGTTATGAATTATAGACAGTGTCTAATTCAAATGGTATGGTCTCACTTATGGAGTTCAATTTGAATTTTATTTTAACAATAAATTTATTCAGTACTTGCTAGGTACTAGACACTATATAGAAAGACCAAGATTTGAAAAAAAAAATGGTTCCTATTCTCACAGCCAAGTCACATAAAACTAAAAACTCTAAAATGTTTAAATTTAATTAGAACCTAATTAGAACTCTGACCTAATTATAAGTGATTCTGAAATTCTATATTAGGACAAAGACCAATCAAAAGACAACAAAGAAAACAAAGCCATGTCAGTGTCTGTTGGTTTAAATCCACAAAAGGTAAAGTTTAGGAATATGCAGTAGTATATCTTCTAAGCAACACTACCTTTCCAACTGCAGCAAATACTAATCAGAGGCAGCTGTTGTCTCTCAGGTAAATCATTTCAAGGTAGATCTCCCCGGTCTCTGACCTCTCCCCTGCTTCAACTGTTCCCTGACCTTAATTAACTCTAAAACAGATCTAAGGTTCCACTCCTGGGCTTATGAAAGGTCTCTGATGACTCCCAAATGCCTCTAGGGTAAGTCTAAATTCTTAAGCATGACCTTCCAGGTCCTCCAGAATTTGGCCTTATTTATTTTCCAGTTTCATGGCCGAACAAATTTCAAGGCTCATGTGACTTTTTTAACCTGGAATCACTGTATTCTTTTTCCAAACAAGTTTCTAGTCATCCTTCAAAGCCCAGATCAAGCAAATGCTCTTTATGAGGACTTGGAGTTTTGTAGGCAAAACTGACTGCTCCTGCTTTTGAACTCCTCTCTACTTTCTGTGGTTATATGTGAATGTGTGTGCGCACATACAATTATAATTTAATAGTACATATTAATACTAGCTAACACTTAAATTTTACTGTTTCAGTCATAGTGCATTATCTTATTTAATTCTCACAACTAGGAGGTAAGAATTATTATTACTTCCAGATTCAGAAACTTGCTCAAGGTCACAAAGCTTAGAGTCTAACCTTTGTATTAGAGTCTAACTTCTATATTGCTATACTTCCTCTTTAGCTTAGAGTATACTTAAAAACTATATGAAATTCTCTCCAACTGAAAAACAGAATATTTAGAACTCAGGTTCAGTTGGTCATTACCTTCAGATATGAAGTTACTATTTAAATCCATACCAAACATGCAAAATAATATATTCTCTGAAGAAGAAGCAATTAGATACCATACTAATGTTATACTAAGTTATTAATAATAGCCCATAATGAAAAATCAATCAGTGTTTTATAAGCAATAATAGAATTTTGGCTTGGAAATACAAAGTGTATAAAGACATTAACTGAGAGCCTTCCTTCAGTAATTTGATTGAGAACAATGATATTCTCAAAAGAATGCTTCCCTTTATAAAATATTACACATCAGTCCCTTGAAACCTTATGGGAAATGAAATGTTTCTCCTAGAAACATATCCATACTTTCCATAAAACAAAGAACTTCATATTCTAATGTTGGCCTCTCTTTATTAAATGTATTATACAGCTTTTTTTTTAAAACTAAAGCTAATTAACTCTTCTAAAATTGTCTGGATTTTCCTAGCTAACCAGGAACATATGCATCATTACAGAACTATACTAAGGAGTCAAATAAAAATGATCCAAATGTAGAATCTAAAATGCCTTACATTTTCATTTCTCTTGAGAAGATCATCATCATTGTAAAGAGGCAAGCTTGTCACCATCCATCCAGTGCATAATCTAATCACACCCATTAACTGTGGACTTCCTGCAAAAACAGCTGCGACTGGAGCTTGCCTTCTGCAAAGAACCATAAAGATTCACACACTGAAAAGGTAAGTATACTATTTAGATCACTGATTTATATCAATTCTGAAATACCAAGCAACTTAAAATGTATTGCACACTTAAGTTTCAGTGTCAGTTTTCATTTCATTTTGGGATTTATTAAAAAAAAAAAACTGAGCACCTATTATGTGTCAGAAACTGTTCAGACTGCTAAAGATAAATAAATATTTTAAAAAGAGAGGTGGGAGGACAAGGTCCCTGCTTTCAAGAGGGAGCAGGGGGAGAGGATAAGCATATAGGTCAGGTGGTAATAATGCTATTAAAAAATAATGCAGGGTGATGGGAGTGACAATTCAATGCTGATACTGTGAATTCTCAAATTCGTCTTTGGCAAATATTAACCACCAGAACCCAACTCCTTCCAGATCCATCTATCCTCCTGCTCCTTCCCTACCTTTACCCATATGTCTATCTCCAGATAACACAGGAAGGACTTCTCTACTCTAAATCATAATCCAAAGTCCCAGATAGATGCCACTCACAAGACAGGTCCCAAAGGGCTGCTCTTATGTCCTGACTTATTTATTACCTCCCTGTATTCAACATTCAGCATCTACCTACTATGTGCTAGTGATATTGTCAAGCTCTGAAAATAGAGAGACAGCACACAGCCACTGTCCTCAAGGAGCCCTCAGTAATGGGGAAACTAAAATGAAACAGAAGAATCACAACACGGTGACATAAATGTCCAATCATTTGATGTAAAAGGTCCAATGTTCAGGCCTTTGCTGTTTTTGAAAATACTGAGGTAAATCACACACATAGATGTGACTTTCTCTTTTGTTAATGACAACACAAGGCTATATAGTCAGTGTTCCACAAAGGTGAATACAATTCACAAAAAAGTATTAATAGGCAGTAGTTAAGGATGATCTAAAAAAAATCATAATTTTTATACATACAAGAGGTGTCATTACAATAACGAGACGTTATAATAAGACCTATTATTCTCATTTCTATATACCTATTCTATAAACCTATTCCTCATTTCTAGAAACATTTTTTGCCTTTTTCCCCCTATTATCCTGGCCTTTTCTGAGAGTGTTTCATTCCTTTTTCAAGTTTTAGTTTCTTCTTCTATGTGTTTAAAAATTTTCATACTATTTCATAGTCTCTATCCATAGGGTAGACTGGTTGGAAAAATGGTTACAATGATTCTTTTCTATAGGTATGCTCTTGGAGGAAATGCTGGTCTTCGTTATGTGACTTCTTTTGGCCAATAGGACAACAGCAAACATAATTTGAGCAGAGACTTAAAACATGCTTGACCTTGCGACCTGTCCTCTCTTGCTGCTCTTGGGAACTCTACAACCACCACCTTATGAATGAGCCCAGTCTCACCTGGGCTGGATAATGAGAAGCATGTGGCTAAGTCAACTCCATTACCTCAGCTGACACCTACCCAGTCTAGACATGTGAGAAAGGCCATGCCAGACTATCCAGTCCCAGATGAGCTGGCCCAGACCAGAAGAATCCTACCAATTGCTTCTACTCAGCTGACCACTGAAATGGTGCAAAATAACAAATGTTTATTGTTTGTGCGCCACTAAGTTTTGTGGTAGTCTACTGTGCGGCAAGAACTGACGCAAGCCAATTTTATTATCAGAAATTGCTAGAAGTCTACTTCTATTGCTTATCACAACCAACAACTGATAGTTGCTGTGTTGAACTGTTTCTTCATGTGTTTTGTAACTTCAGAGCTTATCTTCATGAAGCTTTATTTGTGAAATCCTGGGTAGCCTGGGTTGAGGATTATATCAGGCACTCCAGACCATTCCAGAACCACTTTTTATGCTAATCTCTTGATATAGGGTTTCCTGGATTAGACAAGTATAATTTCAAACTACAAACATGTGAATTCAGATGCATTGCTACAAATTCAGGGGAGACACTTTATTTCTGACCAAGAGCTGAAACCGAGGAAGATGTGCTTTCTTATCATCTTTCTCTACCCCTTGATGGCTATTTTGTGATAGTCCATCCTTTCACTGATAGTGTAGCCCTTTGAGGGTCCCTTAGTTACATATGTATGTTAGGGGAGGGAACGAGGTGTTTCAATTAAAATTCCCAGCTTCTATAGGCCCAAGAGCACATCTCCTGTCGTATTAAAATCTGCATGAGTGTTAAAATTTTAAATCTTGTTAACCTTGGTTATCAAGACTAGAAATCCACCGCTCATTCACCTCCAACTCCGGTTAAAAGCAGCATCTCTTGACTATCTAAATAAAAGAACATTGGTTCCTTTTTATTCCACATTTCTAGATGTTTAACAGCTAGAGTTTCATATCTAAAACTTATCAATACTGTATTTTGATGGAAATGAGTTCAATTAGAAAATTAGAATTATATGTCTAAATGAAAACTAAATATCCCTAAAAATACAGGGTAAAATCCCTGAGATTTATGAGAAGAACTTGGAAAAGGATTAATTTATTATTTCCCCTGAATCCATTAAATAGCATTCAATGATTAATTAATAGCTTAACAACAGTCTTGGGCAGTTCAGTTCTTACTTTATCCAGGTCATAAGTTCCACCGTATCTGGGTCATAAAATTCTTGTAGTTCCATTAATTCTGTCATTAATCTTGGAAAAAACTAAAATACAAAACAAAATCCCCAAAACCTGTGTGTAAGTAATTAGAAAGTTTAAAACTTCCAAAGACTAAGAGGCCAGCTTAGGACAAACAATATTACAACACTGTTCTCACAGAAAAAATGGCATGAATTGCTTTACTCTCTTTCAGTTTCTTGCTAGTTCTTCTCAGCCCAAATAATCTACTGTATGGTTAATTCACTGCCTACGCTCAATACATAATTTTATCAGCCAAACAATTAATCATCAGTTGTATCTTTCATGCACATGCACACTGAATAAATAAGTAAGCAAACAAATTTCAGATCAAGTCAAAGAATTCACAGGTTTACTGGCAATTAATCTCATGTTACATTACGATAAGCCAAAGAGCTTACATTATTTTATAAATATTTAAATTTGGAGATTGCCAAAGTACTTTTTACTATTTACTAATAAATACCATTTATTCAGCCATTTCCTTTGTCAGTTATAAACTGAATTAATACCAGTATTAGACTACAGAAAATTGCATCAGAGTAAAAATGTTTTACCTCTTCTATCATGCTCCTATTGGTAGAAAATTACGTATTATTAAGTATATCACGCTTTATTTTGTTAGAATACTGTTCCAATATAAGTATCCTACACACATATATAAATTTATCACTACCTTATAGATAACATATGTTTTCATCTTATGAAAAATCTAATTTTCTTACCTCTTTCCATAAGCTGAGACCTATTATGGTAGGGACAGCCATGCTCAGAATGAGAGCCTAAAATGTTAAAGCAAAAAGGGTTATGGATAAACATATTTCAGAATGTACTACAGAGGTACTAGACACTGACTCTATGACCAATCAAATATTCTTACAGTTATAACAATTTCAGGCAGAGAAATTGGAGTCGGCATGGAACCTAGTTCACAGAGTGAGATGGGTGAAGAATAATACATTTTATATCAAGCTGGAGACAAAGTGAGAAATACATATTTGCAATATAAATTTAAGGCAGAACATAAGAAGGGTAATGTACATCGCAATATTTCAAATAGTTAAGTCAATATTTGACAATTTTTCCAGGAATTTAACTTATGAAGAGCTTACAAAAAACACTGAACTGCTATGAAAATAGCTAACAACAACAAAAAGACAATGAATTAACACAGGAAAAATAGCCAATATACATCAATATACTACTATGCTAAGATAAGAATGCATAAATTCCTCTGGAAAAAGACTGGCAAAATACAACATGACTATTATTAGACATAATTTATCATCTCCCTACCAAAACCTGTTCTCTTCCTATTGTCCCATGTCTGTTGGTGACCCCACAATCCAGTCACACAAACCCCAAACCTAAGAAACATCTATGATTTCTCTCTATTCTTCCTTCTCCCATACTTACTGAGGCACCAAATCTTATTACTCTTCTAACTATTTTTTCCACTTCAGTGTAGTACAGTATTAATTAAATGGGCTTTGGAGCTAGAAGAACCCGGGACTGAATCACGGTTCTTACACTTACAAGTTATGTGATCTTGGGTGAGTTATTTAACCACTTTATGCCTTAGTTTCTTTCTCTATAAAATACAGATAATAAAACTTAACTAACAGGATCTTTGTAAGCTTTGAATAGCATGTGAAATGCTTCAAACAGTACCTGACACATAGTGAGCTCTCAAAACAATTGAAGTTTTTATCGTTTCCATTCTCCATGGCCTGTACCTGGGTGACAGCCCCCTTCCTGATTCCAGTCTCTCACCCTTAAGCCCATCCTTCACAGAACTATAAGGGTGAGCTGAGAGAAAATGTAAGGCTGACTCTCTCCTGCCCTTGCATAAACATGTCAATGTCTTCCTACTGCCTGTGGGATAGCACCAAGCACAACAGGACACTCAAAGACCTCGATGACCTTACCCTCCTAGACTTCTCCAGTCTCATTTCTTGACCACTATTACCTCACATTTTATGTGCCAACAAAACTAAATATATCGTGCTTTTTCTTTACCTCTGTTTTTATTCCCTTTGAATACATCAAAGGGAATCCCTAAAAAAACTGAATTAATTAGCCCTTCTCTGTTCCAACAGCACCCTATCAACACTTCTTATCTGTTTTTATGACTGGGAGACTATAATCCACCTGATGAAATTAATCTCTTTGTTTTCTTTTTTTTTGGCCACACCGAAGGGCATGCAGGATCTTAGTTCCCCAACCAGGGATCGAACCTGTGCCCCCTGCAGTGGAAGTGTGGAGTCCCAACCACTGGACTGCCAAGGAATTCCCCTAATTATGTTTTATTTATCTTTTTACTGCAAGCACATTACACATAGCAGGCACAGTGTAAATGTTGCATTCTCACTGAAAACATTCCATAGTTCTAAATCAAACTGAGAAAAATATTATCAAAATTAATTTTTGAAAGCCTCTCACATTGATTCACGTATATCTTTACCTTCTATTTTTTAAGTAGTCTGCATTGAAAACACCCTACTTTTATAATCAGAAATTATTAAAAAATGTTTGCCATAGAATCTTTTTCTTTTTTTCTACCTGTAAATCATAATGTGATTTACTCATGCTATTATTTTTTATAAATTTATTTATTTTATTTATTTATTTTTGGCTGTGTTGGGTCTTCATTGGTGCACGCAGGCTTTCTCTTTCTCTCACGCGGGCGAGTGGGGGCTACTCTTCGTTGCGGTGTGCGGGCTTCTCATTGCAGTGGCTTCTCCAGTCACGGAGCACGGGCTCTAGGTGCTCAGCCTTCAGTAGTTGCAGCAGGCGGGCTCAGTAGTTGTGGCTGTGTGCTTCAGTAGTTGTGGCATGCGGGCTCAGTAGTTGTGGCTCATGGGCTCTAGAGTACAGGCTTAATAGTTGTGGTGCACGGGCTTAGTTGCTCCACAGCATGTGGAATCTTCCTGGACCAGGGCTCAAACCCGTGCCCCCTGCATTGGCAGGAGGATTCTTAACCACTGCACCACCAGGGAAGCCCTACTCATGCTATTTTAATTGTATTCATGTGGTTCCCATTTATATAATTGAAAGAGAAACAAGAACTTAACACAAAATAACAATGACTCACCAACAATACTGGGTGTACAGTTCGTAATCGAAGCCACTTGAAAAGTGTCATCCAAAGTTCAGGAGAACATACACCAAATGCTGCTAACATGCACACATAAGGAGTCCAGAGGTATTTCAAGCTGGAAAAGACAGAGTCATACATGAGCTATCCTATAAACATCATTATTATGTGATTTCTCTTTTCTGAGTTCTTTCCTAATACTCATGAAAATACCACAATGTTGAAGGACAATGAAAAAGCTTAGCCTCTAATTTTCAGCAACATATTGTTACTCACTTCTTAAATAATCAAGAGACATGTGGGTTACTAAAATGAGGATGAAATAAGACATTAATATAGATGAGGTGTAGTAAAATTGTACTCTTGGAGAGAACATAAACTGTTATACTTTTTCAGAAGGCAATTTGGCAGAACCTATAAAAATTCTAAATACAAGACAATCCCATTTCTAGTAAACTAGCCTACAGATATATTAGCATAAATGTATAAAGATATACATGTGGGGTTTTAACTGCAGTATGTTGTTTTAATTGCAAAAAAAAAAAAGAAACCTAACTATCCTTCAACAGGTACTGATTAAATAATAAATCCTTATGAAAAACAAAAAAGCAAACTGCAAAATTTTATGTATACTGTTACCCTGTTTTTTGGTGATTTTTTTTCTAATGTACATATATGCAGTATAGCCAAAAAATAACATCTGAAAAGATATTGCTGACAGTTGTGACCTCTGAGGACTGGGACAGAAGGATTTTCATTTTTTACTTCATACATATCTATATTATTTGGGTCTGTTACACAATCTGCATTATTACTTTTGAGATTAATTTTTTAAAAACAGGATTGAAAAATTAGGGCCCTTAAAAAGATTAAAAATCCAGGTGTACAGAAAAATGAACTTGTGCAAATAAAAGGCAGTACCTTACTTTAAGTTGTAACTTGTACAGGAAACAGAAGAAACCCATCACCCTAGGTGATGGTAAATGCTGAAGACAGAAGAGGAAGAGTTTAGAAAACTTTGTGGATGTCATTGCTTCACACAGATGATCAAGGAAAAATAACATCTCAGAAGATAACTTTTGTAGTTAAGACTAAGGAAACAATAAGATCCTTCTAAGATATATTCTTTGATGACAAACTCAAAAGAGACTAGAAGAATATGAGGCCAGAGTATAAATGTGAACTATTTTGGTTTTATAAAACAGCAAAGCTATGAAATGGGGAAAACGAAGTAACATTCATCTAATAAAAATTTATTGATCATACACTTCAGGGTGACCAAAGTACTAGAGAGAAGAAAAGAAAAACAAGACATGGCTACAGCCCTCAAGGAGGGCTTTATTAAGATGGAATAAAACTGAACACACGGGAAACAATTAGAAAATAAGTATAAAAAATTTATATAAGGTCTAGGGTGATATGAAAGCAAAAGGACCAATTTGAGAATGTACTTAAGGTTTAAAACAATGCATACTGAATCAGGCTTTGAGAGAAGTAGCTGGATGTATATAGAATACATGTTGCTAAGACAGAGGAATTGCATTCGTTTCCTCTGGTTAACCAGTAACTCCTCCAACCATTAACTTCCCCATTTCAGAAAATACCAAACCTATTTTTCCAGTCAGCCAGAATCAATGCTAGAGTCTGGTTTATAACTCCAGGAGAGACTACTCACATGCTCTAGACATTGGACCATTGTGCCAATCCACTGATTTCTTCGTATACAACCTCTCCTTACCATTTTATTTCAATAGCCAGCTAATTAACATCTCAACTTTTAAATTCTCTTCCAATTCAACCAAATGCCAGATGAATCCTTTTCAAACATAACTATGAGAAGACATGTTCTGTTCAAAAATCTTTAGTTTCCCAATACCTACAGAAATAAATGAAACTCACCCAAATGGTTTTCAGGGCCGTCTAAAATATGGTCCCGACATACCTTTTCAGTTTTTTCTACTACTTCCCTAAACGATTAGAGTTCCAGCCAGAGTTTGCAGAACAATCTCAGTGTTTCCATCCCATAATGCACACAAGTTTCTCCCTCCTGGTAAAACTGCACCCCTCTCTAGTTGCTGCCTTAGCCTCTGATTCCCTTTATAGCCAGACTTCTTGAAGTCTACACTCATCTCTCTTTCCTCACCTTCTTTTCTCTCTGATCATATCCTTTAAAAACTCTTCCTTTGGCTTCTGAATTGCAACTCTTCCTAGGATCCCTCCACCACAGTCCCTGCAACTCCTTATTTAGTTTCCAATTCCCAAATATCTTAGTTTTGGCCCCTTTACTCCATCTCCATTGCTACTCACTTCTAGATTCTACTATGATACCTTGTTAACTGGTTTATCTTCCTCTAATCTTGTTTTCCTCAAATCTTTCTCAATCATCGCTGCCAGAGAGATTTTCCCTAAAAGAGTAAAGGTGATCGTGTCAAATTTCTGCTTAAAACACTTGACCTGTTCCCTGCTTATTTTTCCGGACATATCTCGCTATTTCCCTCACATTCATCCCATAGTATTCGTTCCCAAAGAATACTTCTTTTTCCCAGATTATTATACACACACGCAACACGCACACACACACACATACACACACACGCACGTGAGAAAACTGACAGCCTGGCCAATCTCTATCTCTCAAGACTGTGGCCCTGTTTAGAAAATCTCCCTTAAGCTTATTTCCCCTACCTACCTTCCACAAGTGAGTTAGTACCTCTCCTCTGGATGACCAGAGCACCCTCTGTATACCTTTCTCATAGTATTTTACTTTGTTCTAGCTCTTGGTTTACTTATCTAGAATAGGAACTCTTTGAAAAGATTCAAAAAGACTAGATTTCATATCTCTCTAATCCCTACTGCCCTACCTGGTAGAGTGCCTGGCACCTCCTAGGGGACCATGCAAGTTACCTGCATGAATAGATGATCATGTCTTAGAGGTCTAGTGAGTAAATTAGAGAATTAAGGACCAGTGATAGAATAATGCAGATTACATGTTCAAAAAAGGGATCTTGAACTTAAAATGACCGATCCAACAATGAAGAATGGTGGGAATAACAAAAAGTTCTTTTTCAGAGAGAAATAAAACTGAGGAAGGAGGGGAAAAAGGTAAACCATGCTCCAAATTCTAGTACTACTAGGCAACAAGATGAGAATCAAACCCTGAATCACTTAAAATATTCATGGATTAATACACTTCTTCATCCTATTTAGGTACTATGGATTGCTAACTGTTAGAGTGAACTTTATTCTCACTTCAAGTTTCCATAGATATACCCCCTAGTCATGGGTTTGGCAGTCTGTGGACCCCTTATAAGAAAACATTTCTAAATGCATAAAATACATAGGCTTACAAAGGAAACCAATTATACTGAAATACTGATATTAAATAATAAAATTTGTATTTGTAATACAGCAATATTTGTACTTGTTTATTAATACATTAAATGCAGGTCTAATAATTACTATAATTTTGAAGTAGTGATGTATATAAACAATATTCAAGATACCTGTAAAAAACCAGTACAATGAGAAAATAACTATGCTTTCTGTTGGTGAAAGCACCACGGGTACTGCTAAAATGACTGTGATTCTGTATCTGTATTCATAATTAAAGGAAACTTAAATCTTATACTGTATCAATATTCTTCACCTCTCCCTGCTTTTATTCCCCTCCCTATACTTCAGAACCCTAACTGCTCCTCCTCGTGGCAGCAAGTTATCTGATTTGTGAGTGTGAGGTGACAATACTCAACAAACACTTATGGGCTTTTACAGTTTGGATCTTCCTTTTGCAGCACGGGTGTGTATAGGTGCAGCAGGCTTACCAAGGCTCTGGCCATTCAAGAGGGAAGGCCTGAAATTTAAGGACTAAACTCAGTTTGGGGTGGAAGATATTCAAAGGCCTTTTGGTCACACATGAAAAAGAGTTCTCCAATGCAACTTTTATCAGAATCAGAATCATTGAGATGACCAAAATATATTCCTCATATATATTTGGTTTTTGACCACGGGTTTCTGGCTCACAACTCCCCAAACCCTTGGAATCTCCTAAGCGCTGAGAGCTTAAATGTATCTTTTATTATGTTAATGAGGCGACTTTTGGACAGCAGCTAAGGATGGGGACTGGTTGCCAGTGGAGCCAACCAGGTGATGAGAGGGTTGGAAGTTTCAGTCCTACCCCCCAGACCTCTGGGGAGGGGAGAGGCTGGAGGCTGAGTTCAATCACCAATGGCCAATGATTTAATCAATCGTGCCTATGTAATAAAGCCTCCATAAAAACCCAAAAGTACAGGGTTCAGGAGCTTCCCGGTTGGTGAACATGTAGGGATTTCTCTCTCCTGGAGAGAGCATGGGAGCTCCAGCCCTTTCCCCGTACCTTGCCCTATGAACCTCTTCCATGTGGCTGTTCCTGATTTATATCCTTTGAAAATAAACCAGTAAGTAAAATGTTTCTCTGAGTTCTGTGAGCTGCTCTACCAAATTAATCAAACCTGAGGGAGGGGGTCTTGGGAACCTCTGATCTATAGCCAGTTCACCAGAAACACAGGTGACAACCTGGACTTGTAACTGGTGTCTGAAGAGGTAGCAGGGGAGTCTTGTTGGACTGAACCCAAGCCTGTAGATTCTGATGGTACTTCTGGCAGATAGTCAAAACTGAGTTGAATTGTAGGATACCCAGCTGGTGTCCAGAGAATTGTTTGTTGGTATGAAGAAACCTCCTCCCCACTTTGAAATTGGGTGCTCAGAACCATTTCATACTCCTATGTCTTATTTCTCATCTGAGTCAAACTTCAAAGAAAAGGCTATATTGAACCCTCACCCTCATAACACCATTTACCTCTCCTTCGCTTATCAAAGTTATAATTTTATTTTTGTGTGGTTAGCATCTGTCACCTTCAATAGACCATGAGTCACATAAGGTTAGAGAATCTTGTCCACCACTGTACCCCCAGCACCTAGCACAATGCCTGGCCCTTGGAAAACATTCAATAGTTTTTGAACAAATAAATTACTAAGTAAATATCGGTTCACTGTACTATAAACACCTCTCTAAACTCCAGTTAGATTAAGGTTTTTTTGAGTTTTTATAGTGTTCTTATAAATGTGTTCTTGAAAGTATCCATTAACTACCATTAGAAAGGACAATTCTTTGTAAAAACAAATGGCTCAAATATACACTTACCCTTCTATAATCATTGCAAGAGAGCCCAATAAAATAGTGTGAATCACGTGATAAATTATTTCTGGCCTTTCTCCAATTTGTCCATCTTCAAGCGTAATAGTTTCTTTCAGGGACTTACCACTACTGAAAGAAATGTGTTTTTTTACTACTTTGAAAATATTTATTTGAAAAATCAAAGATCTTTAATATCTTCATTAAAAAAATATAGGTAGTTCTTAAAATTTGAAAGTATATTCTGCTGGTCAAACACCTAACTTAGGTATCTCCAAGTCTTTGAAAATGGCTATTGAAGCTTGAAGACAACTGCCTCAATAAAGACTAAACATGAAAGTTCAGGAAATATAATAAAAAAGATACATAGGTTCCTTTTCCAAGATGAATTATCACTAAACTAATGATTGTTAAATCAATATAGTTAAATAATAATTTGAATTACTAAGTTCTCAAAATTAAGTTACTACACACAGCCTCCTTTCAAGTTTGATAAAAATATTTTTAAATAGTCAAACTTTATAATTTAAAATCACTTATACTACTAGTTTCAAGTAATTAGAAAAAATTATGCTTACAGTAAATAAAAAATCTGAGTAAATTAGTCTGTAAAAGTTTAACTGATTATTTAAATATTATTCCTGCATTAAAAATGGACATTACAGGGACTTCCCTGGTGGTCCAGTGGGTAAGACTCCACACTCCCAATGCTGGAGGGTTGGGTTCGATCCCTGCTCGGGGAACTAGATCCCGCATGCATGCCGCAACTAAAGATTCCATGTGCCGCAACTAAAACCCGGCACTGCCTAAATAAATAAATATGAATATTACATATTTAGATGTATAAACTTAAATTTGAATTTCATCTACTTAACTTATAATGATATTTTACACACTGATAAAGAGAGAATTCAATTAGAAACTCTAAAACACACAAATATTGGAAGGATATTAAAAATAAGTTTTATATATTTCCATAATTTATTAGTTAGTAATATGATTGGTTCTCCTAGGTACTTACTTAATTCTCCTAAAAATAACCTGAATCATAGAAAGAAAACAAGTAATTAACACTAAAATATAGAAAGGTAATAAAGAAGATTGTGTCAATCGCAAAAAAAATTCTTGAGATGGTGCCTGAAGGGATTCTTGACATAGGAGCCAATTCATTGTAAAATTCCTACAGAAAACAAAAGCATGATATTAAAATCACAGATGTTTTAAAGTACTGAACTTAAAATTATTTTTTCCATCTCAGTAAAAACTAAGGCAAAACTAAACGCACTTCCTAAATCCGTTAACTTACAACAGAAAGGTCATACCCTTTATAAATGAAAATAATAGCATTAGTAACCCTCCTCAACAAACTGCCCTAATAAATTTAAAACTACTACATTTTTATGATCCAGCAATGTGACCATCTCTAGAACCCAATAGAGTTTTAGGGGAGTTTTACTTTCTATTTTTACCTGGAAGATACCAAAAAAATTCAACTGTCTAACCTCTAACAGCACTGTCCAGTATGATAGTCACTAGCTACACGTAGCTAATAGCACATGAAATGTGGCCAGTGCAAATGGAGATAGTCTTTAAGCACAAAATACACCCTGGACTTCAAAGATAAAAAAATCAAGAAAAAAGGAATTTAAAAAGTACAAAATATATCTCAATAATTTTATAATGTTTACACATTAAAATAACATTTTTAATATACTGGATTAAATAAAGTACGTTATTGAAATTAAATTCACTTGTTTCTTTTTACTTTTTTTTAATGCAACTACTAGAAAATTATGTATGCAACTAATGTCATATTGTTATTGGACAACCCTGTTTTATATTGATAAATGTAACTTGACTAGGACCCATTTTAAAAAGAGGTTATCTAATTATTAAGACAGAAATCATAAAATTTGAAATGTAAGTTTTTTGAGCTATAACAGTCAGGATAAACTTTTTTTTTTTAACCCACACTAAATATAATCAACAAGCCTCCTAGTTATACGTAGATTTATCTGCATTCTCACTCCCAATCCATCTTCAACCTCCATTTAATCCTCAAATTCCTAGCCCTGGGGGAGGAGGTAAGCGATGGAATGATGTTCAGGAGTGCCCACGGATGGATTGAGAATGCTTCACAAATCACTGGGTTTAAACTAAAAGGTTAAAGTTTCACAATGTGCCAAACAGCTATACAACTGTATCAAAGAGGCTGCCATCAAAATATTTTGTACCTAGGACGAAAGCACTTTTTAAAAATCTGCCTACTAAAGTAACTAATTCTATAAGGTCTAATTCAAATTCCAATTTAATGATATTCTTTCCATAACCCCAGTCTCAATCCTTCCTTCCCCATATTCCCATGGCACTTTAATTATCCCTTTATTATAGTGCTTAATGCAATCTGCTATGCGTTAGATTGTAGTCATTTTTGTATACCCCAGAGTACCTGGCCCAGTATCTTGCACATTAAATAAATATTTATTAACACTTCTTTACTGATTCTTTTCTTTTCTTTCTTTATTTATGGCTGCGTTGGGTCTTCGCTGCTGTGCGCGGGTTCTCATTGCGGTGGCTTCTGTTGTTGTGGAGCACAGGCTCTAGGCGCGCGGGCTTCAGTAGCTGCGGCTCGCAGGCTCTAGGGCACAGGCTCAGTAGTTGTGGCGCACGGGCTTAGTTGCGCTGCGGCATGTGGGGTCTTCCCAGGCCAGGGCTCGAACCAGTGTCTCCTGCATTGGCAGGCGGATCCTTAACCACTGCGCCACCAGGGAAGCCCCTTTTTTTAACATCTTTTTATTTTATTTATTTTTGTGTGTGTGTGGTACGCGGGCCTCTCACTGTTGTGGGCTCTCCCGTTGCGGAGCACAGGCTCCAGACGCGCAGGCCCAGCGGCCATGGCTCACGGGCCCAGCCGCTCCGCGGCATGTGGGATCTTCCCGGACTGGGGCACGAACCCCTGTCCCCTGCATCAGCAGGCGGACTCTCAACCACTGCGCCACCAGGGAAGCCCTCTTTACTGATTCTTAAAATTCCGTCTCAACAGAAATGTCTCCTGAAACTCTGGTGAATTACAAATCCTGATATCCAATTGGCACATTTGCACACAAGGCACTTATTATTTACACACCCATGCCATTAATTGTATAAAAACTATCTAATGAGCCAGAAATACTCTTAAGGACAAGATTAATAAGTCTTAATCTTAAAATACCCAGTATATTACCTTGTGAAGCCTAGTACCTGACATGAGGAACAAAGGCGCACTATAGAACATCAACTAAGAAACACTGGACAAAAGCAGACCTTAACGCTAGGCTCATTCTAGAGTCTTCCAAGGTTAAAGAGAAAGTCAGTGAAAAGGCCAGTCAATTATGGAGGTCTGCAACCAACTTTTACTAGTTGCCTGCTGAGTGTCAGGCCTACAAATACACCTGAAAAAGACATGGTCCCTACCTTTATGAAGCACATGGCCTCTTAAAGGATCCTTTTATCTTACTAGATAGCCATATACGATTTACACTTCAGAAGACTTCTCCAGTGTTTAAGCAATGTCAAACCCTTGGTTAACTGATATATCACAACATAAAATTTCATTCACAGTATCTAAAATCCCATGTAATCCCAGCAAACGATTATAAGATTCTACGGTCTACTATATGAACTAGAGATATGTATAGGTAAATATATATTTTCTGTTATGCAAATGGACTCTATCAGTACATAAAATCATTTATTTCATTTTAGATTTAAAAAATGCATTTAGACAACAAACAAAAGGTACAACACTATTTTTGAATTTAAAAAGTCAGCTTCTGGTCCAATCCACTATTATGACCAAAGATAAGATTCTTTGCTATGAAATAAATATCTTACTGACCACCCCATTTTTAATGCCTATGCCCTCTTTTTTAAAAGTATAGATTTGGAGTATATCATGAACTTTTTTTTTTTAAATTGAACTATAGTTGATTTACACCCATACTCTTTGTAATATAACATTTTGCAGTTAGTGGTTAAAATTTCCTTGGTTCTTTATTCATTTTAAATCTTTAATTTATTCTGACCTTAGATTGTATCATCACTCCTCATCAAGGAAAGTAGCCTCAACATACTGTGATGCTACTGAGGTTTAAGTATATCTAATTTTAAAAGACCTAAGTGAGATTTTTTTTTAAATGAGAAAAGTATTAATGTCTTATTTCTTCTAGATATTGTAATATCCCAAATTATTTTCTAAGTGGTATGTAATTAGGTGTGTACTCCCTCCTTTGATTATTTTTGCTCTTTATCTTCTAAGTGGTATAGAGTTAGGTAAACTTACATAATCTAAAACTTACTTAGTCATATTTAGTCCAAATTTTACTTCAAGGAATTTCAGCATATGTCCATTTTCTTTGTGTGGGACAAACATCTGAAGGAGAAAAACACTAGTTACAACAAAGAACTATTAGCTAAGTTTACAGCAATATGCTTTAGTCCAATACTAGAACTAGAAAATACAGCAAGACTACAAAACAAAAAATATGAATTAAAAATACACGATGTAACTATGAAGCAAGGAGATTTACTGGCATAGTCAATCACATTACCTTATAGTTAAGCATAAAACTATAATGGGGTAGTAAGAAGATTTTAACCTTATCCCACCTGGCTTAAATAACTTACCCACTCTTTTGAATGTCTTTGACTCATCTGAATTTATTCCATATATTACTTAGTGTTAATTGGGTAATGATGACATTTTAAATTAAATGAAAAATAAAGTGTAATTTTTAAAAAGTATTTCTATAGGAAAGACTCAGAATCCTATTTTCTCACCTAATATACTAGGTATGATTATTGTTCAACTAAACATGTTACTGTACAAACTCTTACTTTGCTATCCCATTATTCTCGTTAAAATTTAGCCCAGTATAGTTCATTATTCAATTTGCTCTACCACATGAATCTCAAACACAGAGTTACTTACTTTCATTATAATATTCAATGTCACTGTCAGAGTACACACCAAGTAAAAATTAATCACTTTCATTATTTTAGCCACGAAAGTTCCTTTCTTCACATTCAGCTATGCAGGGAGGAAAATTATATGAACAAAGAAGTGAGGTTTAAAAAAATTAACAATTTAAAAATTCCCCCCAAGAATGATAAAAAGGCAATTCTAATTACCTGAAGGCACTTAGCAAGCATTAAGGCTATTACAAAACTTAATAAAGGAGATACCAATAAAGCTGAATTCTCGAACTGCAGTAAATATCCCAGAAAGAGAGAAAATATATAGATTTTATAAACTTCATGAACCTGTTGGGACAAAAATAAAATGAATGAGAATTAAATGAATTTTATTGTACATCTTTTCATTACATAAGATTTGACTACAATTATAAAGTAAATGCTCTACTGTAATTTTGGACAGTATATTTACAACCATTCAATTCGTAGTTTTAATGCCATGGGACGTAACTAATTTATCACTTCCTTTTTAGAAAGAACTCTCCACAAAGTAAAAAGCTTTGAAACCATGGATGTCTAAATCAGACTGGAAGAACTTTCTTTAATCCCAGGCTCTGACTTAATTTTACTTGGTTTGTCTTGTCCATCTATGCAACATCAAGCTGCATAAATCAAAAATCATAACCACTAGCAGCAGTTCCCAAAACCTATCCGGTGAAAATATATTCCCATGAAATGTAGCACCAGAGAAAAGTATTTTGCACTCGGTTCATTTAACAGTGACAATAAGAAAGTTAAATTCAATTTCCTAATAGAAGATCTCCCAGGAAAGTTATGTCTTACTATATTTCTTTTCTAAAATTCAATAGTATAATAATTTAATCTACCATAAAATAAATTCCTTTTAGAAAGGGGAGAACTAAGACAAAATATAGACACTAGTTGGGGGGAAGGGGGAGGAATCAAAAGGCAGAGCGTTAAAAGTTAAAAAAAAAAACCCAACCAAAAAAACAAAAGAAAAAATATCCCTAAAAGGCCAGAGCCATTTTTTAAAAAGATACCCCACTGTCAGGAGGCTGAAGCAATGACAAGAGAGGGCATTATGGGATCTTCTGGGTGCTGGTAATGTTCTATTTTTTCATTTTGGCTGCTGGTTCTCTTAGCTCCAAACCTATCCCTCTATCCCGGCCTCGTAATGCTGCGGCCGGCTTCTTCAGTCTACATTTCTGCTTTTTCATTTGGCTCCCTATTAATCTCTGCCAATCCATGCTAGCGAGAGATAATAAGAGTTAGAGGAGAGAGCAGGGGCGTGTTCCTTACTGCAGCCTGCAGTTCCTGGGAGGATCACCTCAGCAATGCCTCTTCACTCCAACAGAGTTAATTCCTTCCTGTTAAGGCAGCTGGATGCAGCTGCAGTTTCCCTAACACTTGAAGAACGAGCTGTATCACATCTTCTTACCCCAGAGATGGCAGAATCAGCTGGCCAGAGTACCCTTCTCAGAAGTCTGGGTCCCATTTCCACAGAGCCCTTCTCCCCAGTTCAGAGATACCAGCAAAGCTGAGCAGTGGCCCTTCCTCAGAAGTCTGTTTCAGCTCCACAGGGTTCCCTCTTCTAAGCTTCTACGTTTTAATAATTCCAAATTCTTCCTTTCAGCCCTCAGCTCTAGGAGTGGTAGCTGCTTCCTGAAGTTGCTACCTCTATAATACTTTCAGGTACTTATTACCTTTTCATTTAACAAGTTAACAACTTTATACTTGGTTAATGATTGTTTATATTAAATTCTCTCTATTGAAATAACCTAAATGTTGGTCCTCATCAGAATTCTGGACCATCTGAAGAAAAGGAAGAGAAGAGCAAGAAGATTCCCAAATTTCTGGCTTAGACAACATATTAAATACTTAATACATGTTTATAAATAAAGAAAAAAAGATAAGAGAGGGCAAAAGAGAAAAAGACAAAGAAACAAAGGAACAAAATGTTTATGGGAACCTTTACTGCTGACTGAAGTATAAACTGATATAACCATTCTGGGGAAAGGCTTGGTATCTTTAGTTAGATTGAATATGTACACATCCTTTGACTTGTAATTCCACTATATATTCTAGAAAAATCTTGCACTTCTGTGCCATGTATAAAAACGTTATAGCAGCACTGGTCATATGAACAATAAACTGGAAAAAACCTGAAATGTTCGTCAGCAATAGAATACATCAGTAAATAAAAATGAATGAAATATAGCTCTGTACATCATCAGGGGTGAATCTCAGAAGCAAATCAGGCAAAAGTAAACAATACATTATTTGACAACATAGTTTTAGGAATACACAGATGGGTGGTAAAAAAACATAAAGAAAAAGAAGGAAAGGATTAACAAAATTCAGGACAGTTAGCCTCTGATGGGGAGGGAACAGGATGTGACTGAGAAAAAAGGGCTTCTAGTGTTCATATGCTCCATATCTTGGCCTGGGTATTCAAATACTCATATTTTTTCTATACATTGTATATACAGCATGCATATACTCTTTTGTACATTCCTATATTTCACCTTTTTCTTTTTTAAAAGAAACAGAAAGGGAAGATGGAGAAATGGCTAGAAATAGAGAAGAAGCACAGGGGTGACTCTGGTTAAGCAGACCATGTTTAAGGGAATTTCAAAGTGCTTCTAAAAGGACTAGGGGAGAATGACTTTAGCAACCTTTTGAGTAGAAGTATAAATCAGAGCCTATTAAAACATTTCAAATTAAGCTTAAAAGCTAAATACAACCCTATAAAGACATTTATTCTCTAGATTTAAAATCATAATTTTGAAATGCCATAATACCTTTTCACTTTGCTCCAGTGAAAAACTATCTAGCAAGAAGAGAGATATTGCTTGAAGAAACAAGAGATAGTGGCTGTACTCCCACATCATCATAAATGTGTAAGTTGAAGCACTCATCAACAAGTAGCAAAACCTCTAGGGAAAACAAAGAAAGAAACTAAATATCAACAGCTTCATTACTATAAAAATCTATGAGGTTGTTACCTCAAATATTGCAGCTCTGTTACTGGTTCCACTTTAAGGCTATACAATTTTTGAAACTTTTGTTTTTAAATCACATAATTATTAAATCCTTACATAAACAATAAGATCTTAAATCAAGCACTCTAGAGAGAAATCAACCACTTGCCCTTCAGTGTTCAACATTATACTGAGAACTTCAGGAAGACAAAGAAAAAAAGAAAATTCAGTACAATTTTCTTTCACCCCAAAAGAGATAAAGGAATAAATATTTTTAAATGGTGGCTTTTACTAGACTTGACTGCTCGGCTTTAGTTACAGTGGAAGTAACTCCTTTCACTCTATAATATTTTCACTTCCCTGGTGCTTCATATTTTCCTAAGAGCTTCCATGTGATTAGTCTTATTTATGTCTCAGCCCATTCCACACCCCATGGAAAAAAGTCCATTTCTTTTTTCATTTCCTTTCAGCACAGTGTGGCCTTACCTTTTCCCAAAGTTCATACTGTCAACCATATAAAACTCTCAGCTGTTTTCATCTGCTAAAGTGCTAAACACAAGGATTTCACTGCCCTTGCCTGAAATATGCCTGGCTAAAATCTATTCTGTCCTTCCAAATGTCATCTCCCAAGTGATCCCTTAGTGAGAAACCAAGTCTTAGCATATTTCTAGCAACAGTCTCAACTTCTTCTAGGGACCTACCTTTTTATTCCTAATTCCTCCATCAGCCATAGTGTCAAAAGAATTGGTTCTGATAAGAACAATGAAAGGACAATAAGAGTCAAGTCAAGAAACCCAAGGTAAGAACTGTGTTCTCTAAAACTAAATCTTTCAGACTCAGCTGACTATATACTCAATGATAAATTCCAGAGTCAGAGATACCTCAGACCATGAGCAGATGTAAGAATTTTTCAGCATCCTGAATAAGATTAAGACCAGATAACAAAATGAAAGAGATGAAAAAATTCCACTAGTTGATGACATATCAAGGGCAAGGCCCAGAAGGGCTCAGCACTAATAGAATACATAAGCTTCTGCTCCATCTATCACCATAGCTGTAAGAGAAAGTGTTCTGGAAATCTTCTCATGTGGAACAACAGGACTGTAATAACCAGGCCTAAAACCATTATCCTCAGAAAAACCAGCTCCAGAAATCAGTGAAGGGTCAGATCTAGATTCAGCTTAAGTAACCTACTGGCCACTTAGAGATTACTTTGGGGATGCTAGCGAAAAGCTACAGTATAATGAAACAAATTGCCAATTCCAAAGGTTTATTCTCAAACTACTCTAAGAACATGCAGTGAAAATATGATAGAGGGAATTCCCTGGAGGTCCAGTGGTTAGGACTCGGTGCTTTCACTGGCGCTTTCACCAGGCTGGACCCCTGGTCAGGGAACTAAGATCCCGCATGCCGCGCGGTGCCGCCAAATTTAAAATAATAATAATAATAGGAACACATGTCAAACACAATCTGGAGAATGACCTAAGTTTCTCCTTTCTCTGGACATTTTCAAAATTCTATGCACTCTTGTCTACCCCTTACCTTTCTCACTTCATTTTCAACTATGCCTTTATTGTCAGCTTTTTTATATACATTATTTAAGTAACATTAAATGGGTTCTGGTAATCAACCACAGATATCTCTGGATGGCTCCAGGTAACTGCACAAAAGATCTGAGCTTGGATATCCTGATGCAACTGGGACCATGAGATCTAGTCTCAAGAGTGGAAAGCAAAGTACAAAATATATGATTAAAATATCCATGTTCCTATACTACTACTCAGTAACAAAAAGGAGCAAATTACTGGTACATGCAGCATCACTTGGATAGATGTTTATGGCATTAGGCTTTATGAAAAAAGTCAATCTTGAAGGATAACATACTACAGAATTCCATTTACATAACCTTTCAAAGTGACAAAATTACAGTGACAGAGAACAAATCTATGGTTGCCAGAGGTTAGGGCTGAGGGAAAGATATGACTATTAAGGGGTAACGTAAGTGACGTATAGTGTGTGTGTATATATACATACGCATCTTGATTATGGTAAGGGTTACTTGAAACTACACATGATAAAAATTCATACAATTATACACCCTTCCCCCAGAAAAGGAATGCATGTAAAAAAGTTATAATAAAAAATACATATATATATTTAGTTTTAATTAGTTCACATGAAGTTGCAAAAACAGTACAAAGAATTCCCATGGGACTTCCCTGGTGGTGTGGTAGTTAAGAATCCACCTGCCAATGCAGGAGACACAAGTTCAATCCCTGGTCTGGGAAGATCCCACATGCCATGGAGCAACTAAGCCCATGTGCCACAACTACTGAGCCTGCGCTCTAGAGCCCGCGAGCCACAACTACTGAGCCAGCGTGCCACAACTACTGAAGCCCGCACGCCTTGAGCCCGTGCTCCATAACAAGAGAAGCCACCGCAATGAGAAGCCGGCACACCGCAATCAAGAATAGCCCCCTCTTGCCTCAACTAGAGAAAGCCTGTGCACAGCAACAAAGACCCAACAGAGCCAAAAAAGAAAAAGAATTCCTATGGACTGCCTCACCCAGCTTCCCTCAATGACAATATCTTACACGACCATTATACACTGTCAAAACCAGGAAACTGGTCTTCCCTGGTGGCGCAGTGGTTGAGAGTCCGCCTGCCGATGCAGGGGACACGGGTTCGGCCCCGGTCTGGGAAGATCCCATATGCCGCGGAGCGGCTGGGCCCGTGAGCCATGGCCGCTGAGCCTGCGTGTCCGGAGCCTGTGCTCCGCAACGGGAGAGGTCACAACAGTGAGAGGCCCGCGTACCGCACAAAAAAAAAAACAAAAAAAACAGTAAATTGTCACTGATACAATACTATTAATGCAGGTACAAACCTTCTTTAGATTTCAACACACACACACATACACACACACACACACACAAAGGCATGTGTGTATAGGGTAAGTTCAAGGGGAAGCAAACATAATTGAAGGATTGGACAGTTTTGCTTTTTATATAGATATATTTTTTGGTTCCTAAGTTTTATTCAAGAACTCATACAAAATATACCAGATAATTGAGTTTTATTCCTCGTCTTCCTCCTCTTCTTCATCTTGATTAATCTGGAAGTAACGCAATTCATAACTTTCTTTGTTGTTAGCAACTACGCATAACCAATCACAGATTATTCTTCTTCAAATATTTTTTGGTGAGATATTTCAAATACCTTTTGGAAAAAGGTACCTCAGAAGTTACAGTAATCTTGCTTTTGCTTCTTTCAATTGTTACAACACCTCCACCAAGATTCCTAGCTTTTCCATTCACTTTCTCCCCTGAAGAAACTACTCAAAGTTGGCAGCATCTGTGACTTCATCTTCTACAGAATGGGTATAGTCAAGAGTAAACTTTAGGACCTACTTCTTTTCTTTGCCCACCCTGTGCCATGAGATTTTTAATGGGCACCATGGCAACAGCATAGGCAGAAAGAGCAGTTTTGCTTTTTAAAAAATTGAGTTTTAAGCTGAAGGGTTAAGAATACAGTAAACTTGTTTTTTTTTACTACCATGTTTTTATAGAATCCTTAATATTGTTACCCCTTTAATATTTTCATAGATATTTTGCTCTTGCTGTGTACTCTTGAATACCAGATGAGTGGTTAGTTATAAATAACCAAATAACTGATAAGGACAATTTTCCTCCTTTACCTTAATATGAGAGAGGAAAAAAGAGAAAGAGGAAGGGAGGGAAGAAGGGAGAATATTATGGAATACTTTCAAAATAGAGAAAAATAATTGTGGTTAAATAAAAAAGGAGAAACAAAATGTAAACTAAAATAGGAGTATAAGCTATTCTTGGATCCCTTCAAAAAGCACCAGGTCCTTGGTAAACAACAGTAAACTGAACAGAAATATACTTTTCACTGTATATCTATCCATTTGCAATGACTGAATTTTTTTTTTACCACCTGTACAATGTAGATGTATTACTTTTTTTTAAATTTATTTATTTATATATATATTTTTGGCTACATTGGGTCTCCGTTGTTGCACACAGGCTTCTTCTCTAGTTGCAGCGAGCGGGGGCTACTCTTTGTTGTGCTGCACAGGCTTCTCATTGTGGATGCTTCTCTTGTTGCGGAGCACGGGCTCTAGGTGTGCAGGCTCCAGTAGTTGCGGTGCGTGGGCTCAGTAGTTGTGGTGCATGGGCTTAGTTGCTCCGCGGCATGTGGGATCTTCCCAGACCAGGGATCAAACCCGTGTCTCCTGCATTGGCAGGCGGATTCTTAACCACTGCACCACCAGGGAATCCCCCGTATTACATTTTTAATTAAAAAAAGTTAGAATTTAAAAAACTACTAGAAAGAATACATAACATGGCAATAAAAATAAGTTACTTAGAAAAATATAAAATATAGTATAGAAGGGAAAAAATAAGTTTACATTTCATTCTACCTTTTCCAAAACTCCTTCTTTTAAAATAAATAAGAATAATAGTTTTATTAAAAAGATATTTGAAAGGGAATTCCCTGGCGGTCCAGTGGTTAGAACTCCACGCTTCCACTGCAGGGGGCACGGGTTCGATCCCTGGTCGGGGAACTGAGATCCCACGTGCTGGGCGGTATGGCCAAAAGTAAAATAAAAGAGCTTGTGCTCCGCAACGGGAGAGGCTGCTACGGGAGAGGCCACAACGGTGAGAGGTCCGCGAACCACAAAAAAACAAAACAAAACAAAACAAAAAACTGAAGAACTATTCTTTCCTAAGAGACAGCTACACAATCTAACAGGAAAACACTCAAATACTCCCTATTATAGAAAATATTCTTTCTCAGAAAGCTGTTTATACAAAACCAACAAAAGGAAAATTACAAATCTGAAATGTGTTCTTATTATTTTAGACTAAGAAAGGAAATACTAGTGTTATAAAAAATGAAATAAAGTTTGCTATGCTCAGGACATCTGACATCACTGAAAGGAGGAAAGAACATTTTTCAGAGATTTCAAAAAGGAACCATAAGTAAATACAATTTCCTGGCCAACCAGGTCCCTACAGTCCCTTTTTCTAGCCAGGAATTCTTAACCTAAGACAGGCAGACAGACTGTCAAAGGATTGCTACATTTAAGTCACTTTCAGTGTAATTGGTTGCCTTTTATAATCACATTTATTTTATTTTATGCATTTAAAATCATTATTCTGATACAGAGTCTCTAAGCTTCACTTGACTGCTGAAAGGGCTTATGGCAACAACAACAACAGCACAACACTAAGAATCTAAACTATCCAGGATAGTCTCCTGAAGCTCACTAGCTTACCTACACCTCAGTCACAGAAAACATACGGGCAAACAAAATATGCAGTGCTACCATTGTTGTCCCTTGTAGTCACTCTTTATATCTTCATTAATATTCTTCAACTTGTGATGATTAAAGGCTATCAATGTTCCAGAAGTGAGAGAAACAGTAAAATAACGAGACAGATTAATTTTCAAAATAAGATATTCTTCATATATTTGTCAAGTAACTGCGCTAAAACAATATAACATCTCCTTTCTCATAAATATAATTTACTGTCAATCAGATTACAGAATAACAGTTATAACAAGACTACCTAACTATATCCTTTACGGTGTAGTTCAGGTTTCACTGAATATAATTTAACTCTTAATATGAATAGCTTTAAAATAATGTACCACATTTGCAATACATCAGAATTGTGACAAATAAATTTGTTATCTTACCTCTCCATAAGAATTTAAGTTGCTTTTTAAATAGCCTGTAAGTGCAGCAACTTGGCATGCAAAATATGGTAGTGCCCAGTTTTCTCTTAAAGGAATGGAGTATTCAATTCTTGTCGTATCTACCCTAAAATAAACCACAGATGAACAGCAAAATAGCAAGACATTATATCTGTGTAACACTATACTTTTCAAGGCACTTTCACACACTGTTGTTCTCCATATCCTGTGAGGTAGGCATGGACAAAGCCACCATTACCTATACAGCAACTTTGAACAAATTAATAGTGTTTCACCCTTACCTTACCTCCCACCCAGGAAGACTTAGTGCTGCTGTGTCTGCTTGATGAATAGATGGGCCTCTGTGAGAAGCTGAAAAAGGCATCCCTGCTCTGGGCAGATACAGCCTCATGCTACAACACACAGCTTGCTGCAGAGTATACTGGAGTTCAGCCCCCCACCCTCCCTTCCCTTAACAAGATGGCTATCCCTCTCTAGAGCACAATGTGCGCTACATAACTAGCAGGCCTGGCAGATCCACAGTTCTTATACTAATCCTTATATAAAAGGAATATGAAGTTCAGAGAGGTGATGACTTAATGAAGTCATATAGCTAGTAGGTGACACAACTAGGATTACAATGCATATCTTCTGATATCTAGTTTAATACTCTTTTCAATCAGCAGGTTACCCAGAATTAACATTACAGTAGTCCTTTATGTGATAGATCCAGAGAGCTTTGAAAATCTCCAGAATCAAACACAATGTCTTTGCAGGCTCCTCCTAAGTTTCTCCTCTATCAGTTTTCACTGAGAGCCTGTTGTCTCCCATGCATATCCTCACACCACAATGGACTCCCTTCCCAACAATAATTAAATCTGGATCTCATAAACCCAATGGCTATTTCCCACACAAAAAACAAAGGTGCTATTGCTTAAAAAACTTCATGAAAATTGCTGCATAATTCTCCTAATGGAGACAAACATTCTTGCGTGTAATTTAGTTCAGTCAAATTGTGGTACAGGGAATTCCCTGGTGGTCCCGTGGTTTGGGACTCCATGCTTTCATTGCCGAGGGTGAGGGTTCAATCCCTGGCTGGGGAACTAGAATCCCACAAGCCACGCGGCATGGCGAAAAAAAACTAAATAAATTAAAAAAAATTTTTTAAATGTGGTATAGCCATACAATAGGATACTACTCAGCAATAAAAAGAAATGAACTATTGATATACCCAACATATATGAATCGCAAAATAATTATGCTGAGTGGAGGAAAAAAAAAAACCGAAAAAGTATATGCTATATGACTCCATTTATATAAAATTCTAGAAAATGAAAACTAATTTATAGTGACAGAAAGCAGGTCACTGGTTTCCTGATCTTTCCTGATTTTCTACAGCAGTAGAGGTGGGGTAAGAAGAGGAAAAAGGGAGAGATTACCAAGGAGCACAATGAAACTTTTGGGTATGATAATGTGTATTATACTGATTTTGTTGATGGTTTCACAAGGGTGTCTAAATGTCTAAAATTATCAACTTCTACATTTTAAATATGTACAAGTTTATTCTATGCCAATTACATCTCAATAAAACTTCTAAAAAGTATTAGAAAATAACCTGTGTTCTATGAATGTATATGTAATTGAATATATATACATAAATTAAAAACATGAAGATCAAATGAAATAAAAGCTGGAAAAAACTTAGTACAGTGTCCAGAACCTAGTAAACAGTATTAGATCTTATCTCTTTTGTAACTCTGTAATGAACTATTTTTACTTAACAATATATTATGAGCATCTTTCCATAGTATATATGTCAATATACTTCAAGAATATTGAATGGTCATGGCACATAACTGTACAGGTTTATCATAATCTAACCAGTTCCTATTGTTATACACTTACATTGTTTCTGGCTTTATCTATTAAAAACGTTTTTTAAAAACAGGAACCAGGGCTTCCCTGGTGGCGCAGTGGTTGAGAGTCCACCTGCCGATGCAGGGGACACGGGTTCGTGCCCCGGTCCAGGAAGATCCCACATGCCGCGGAGGGGCTAGGCCCGTGAGCCATGGCCGCTGAGCCTGCGCGTCTGGAGCCTGCGCGTCTGGAGCCTGTGCTCCGCAACGGGAGAGGCCACAACAGTGAGAGGCCCGGGTACCGCAAAAAGAACAACAACAACAAAAAAAAACCAGGAACCAATGATTTTGTATAGTGATCATTGGTTTCACTGTTAACTTTTAATTCTTTAATCCAATTGGAATTTATTTTACTATGTGTGCAATAAGTATTTCTTTTCCAGATTTGATTGCTGCAATACCATTTAGTGAACATCATGTATTCTAAAGGCCACCTACTTTCATGCAATATTATTTATGAAAAATTGTTGTGAAAGTTAGCTTTCTAAAAGACAAAACAAGATATTCACATGTCGTAAGTCAGGAAGTACGAAGGAGAAGATGTCTATTCTCAAGTCAGGACTCTGCCAACCACTCTATCAGCCTAGAATTGGGAAGGTGAACCTAGCAATCCTCATTCCAAAGGCTCACTCACTACCCCTACCCAACACACAGCTTAGTGCAGTGAAACCTATAAAACTCTGCACCAGAAGCACTGTCTGGAGAAGGGATGAAGGAAACCTCTAGTCATTGCAGCAAAAACTGAGTAGGGTCTCTGCCAGTTATTCTCTGCACGTGAACAAGCATCCTCACGGCCACAGTCCTGAACACTTGTGCTACTCTTGCTCTTCCCCACACCATCCATGCCTGGTGGTAGTGAGAACCAGAAGGCTACTAGTGGAATGTGACAAAATCCAATGAGACTCACTTTTTCTCCCCAGCAGCCGAGGCTAGCAGACAGCAGCACAAACCAGCAATTCAAATAACAACTACTTTTATCAATTTCATCCATGGATGCATTCCCAGAGATCAGCTAACTCTGAGTTTTTGTGTTTTCCTTTTAAACACATCATAGCATAAACATAACCTGAATCACTTGGACGACCACTTTGTAACCCACTACTGCCAAAAAGATTTCAGGACTTCCATGTTTGTGTTAACAATCCAGTTGGTAACACAGTACTACTTCAATTAGCTTAGGCTAATCAGAAAAAAAATACTAAATGATGTATTGCCAAGTAAAAACAGAATGAGGTACTGATCACTGTGCTAAAAGAAACAAAAAGAGATTTCATAATGGACTGAACAGAGCAACATGATGAGAAATGAGTCATCTCACGGTACCTAACTGTGTAGGTTTGTCATACACAGAGAGTAGAAATTTGGTGTTAGCAAAATATAATTTTTCACATTAAAGTTTTTAGTTAATATTTTACTGGTTTGTTACTTCATTAGTAAATTGGTTTCAATACATAAGGAGCTTAAAAACATAGTTTAATGCTTTATATTTAAGTAGCATTATCATTCAAATTATTTAAATCCATGATTATTAAGTTTTAAATATATACAACTGAAGTTTCAGAAACATTGATTTAGATTAGATGTGAAAAACAGCTTGGCATGTCAATCCAGTGTATAATGTGGGAAAGTTGAAAAACACCTATGCAATATCAGTATAACTTTTAATGGCTATATGTTCCCTTGCATTGACATATTACAATTTACCTAACCATTCCCTTAAATTTAGGTTGTTTTCTAATTTTTCATATTATTACAAATAATACTATAATAAATAAATTGAAACAGTGAACTCTTTCCTTCTTTTTTGAATTACTTCCTTAGAATACAATGAAATTCCTGGGAAAAACTGGCGTCTAAAATTGAAAAACTTTATACTTCCACAAGCATCCAGAGTATACCAATACCATTATTATAGACCCAGCACCATGTGTTACCATTATTTTTTGTTAACTCTGGGACATGTGCATTCCTTGCATCTTACCCTTTTATGAATCACCGATGTGCACAGTTACCCGTTTTAGGCCAAAGATTAAACTTAGTATAGGCTTTTAATCAGATATATTTTCTTTGCTCTTCAAATATAAACATGTGTCCACTGAAAGTGATTCTCAGGGATATATTTGTAGATGAGAAGATCAGTGGGGACCAAGAGCAATTTCTATATTGTTTATACATGAAGATTGGACTCAGGTTAGCCCATTTTGGTGATAGTCTGATCGAAGGGAGTCATCTGCCTCTGATTTCCCCCCACTACTATATGTACAGTGCTATTTCCTGAAATTTTCTTGAATTTTCTAATATACCTACATCCTTTAGTTTGAACAAACAGGAGCTATTTTATAATCCTGCTTTCTACTTCTAATATTAAGGAATGAGTATCACAAAACGTCACTAAGAACACAACTAATAATCATAATATAATGGAATGACTAATATCTTTTTGCACTTTTCTAGGCAATCATATATAAACCAAAGCTGATAAATAAAAAAGACAGCATACTCTTTCATGGCATTCAAATATATTTTGCAGTATAAAATATATACCAATATGGGACTTCCTTAAGGTCCAGTGGTTAAGACTCAGTGCTTCCACTGCAGGGGGCACGGCTTCAATCCCTGGTGGGCAACTAAGATCCCACATGCCGCACAACACACAGCCAAAAAAAAAAAAGGAAAATATATACCAATAACCAATAAAAAATAAACAATGCAAAACAAACACATAAAGAAAAAGCTACTTGCTTAAATGTTTCAATTGCTAAAAGATACACTTTAACAGAATATATCAGATTAATATTTCCACCTAACTCCTGCTCCAGCTACCCAGGATATACTGTATCATTAAACAAGGCAAGTTAATAAGGCAACTGAATTATAATTAAATAAGGCAATTTCCTTACAATTCTCACTAAGATCTTTAAAATAATTTATTTGACAGGGAGTCTTATTATTCTTTAATTGCTGTTATTTTTACATGATAAAGTTGCCTAGTCTTTCTCTTTGAACTTCTGATGAAGAAAGATCTAGGGATTAAATGAAATGAATATTAAAGTTCATTGTAGGTGACAGCCAGCCTCCAAGATGGTTCATAACGGTCCCTGCCTCCTGGTATTAACACCCTGTGTAGCCACTTCCCATGTTGTGCCACGATTAGTCTGCATGACCAACAGAATATGGCAGAGTGATGTCCTATCATTTCTGATATTAGGTTATTAAAGATAGCTGGCTTCCACTATGACACATTCACTCCAGTCTCTCTTGGATCATTCACTCTAAAGGAAACCAGCAACCAAGCTGTGAGCAGCCCTCTGCAGAGGTCCATGTGATGAGAAACTAAGGCCTTCTAGGCCAACAGCCAGCAAGGAACTGAGGCTTCTTGCAAAAGCCACATGAAGTGAACTAAGTAAAAATGATCCAGGCCAGTCAAGCCTTCAGATGACTGTAGCCCCAACCAACTACTGACTCAACCTCATAAGAAACCCTTAGCTAGAAGCACACAGATAAGCCACTCTGGATTCCTGACCCTCAGAAATTGTGAGAGATGTTTGTTGTTTTAAGCTATTAAGTTTTGGATTGATCTGTTATACAGCAATAACTAATGCATCACATAGTCAAGAAAGCAATCCTTTTAGAAGGTCTCTATTTTAAATAATGCTGTATACGAAACACACTTTCACTCTACAAAGCAAGAAATTTCTAGACCTAGTCTATTAGCACTGAAATAAATTCTGTGAGTGTGCTATTAAATTTCTAACAATGAATCCTAATGAAATTTTAGAAGAGTACATGGCAACTTAAAATATTCTCTAACGGGCACTTTCTGACTTAACAAGAAGTCATCTATACCCCTGGCATCCACACCAGATTCTCTAATACTATTTTATACTAAAAGGAATCAAAGCTCCAGAGAGAAAAGGCTAATTGCAAATCTTTCATTGGAATATACAAGGTGAGCCTGCTCTTCCTGTTGAGCCAGAAAACAAGACACTTTCAAAGATTAATGAAGATGTGTCAAAAGAACTCGGGAGCCAGTCTGAAAGCACTCCTATCGACCAATGCTGTAAAAATTTAAGCAAGAAAAAGAATAATGATGGTAATGTATTTTAGCCCTATTGAGTCAATGAAAATCTCTAAGTACAGAAAGATGCTTAAAAAGGAGAACACCAGAAAATGCTTTTTATCACTGTGTGAAACAGCTATTAAGACAATCTCTTACAAAGAAATTGGTAATTAAAGTGAAATTAAGCATTTGTCCTAACTTTCTAATAATAACTGAATTTAAAGGTAGCCAAAGAACCTGGTTAATAAAGAAAGATTCTACTTTTGAAGAATGAAGCTAATGAAAATAGAAAACCCTAATTTTATAAACCCTAAATTAGGCAAAGGCTGTCAACTAGAGTTATAACCCTTGGGTATATTGTTAATGGTGAAAAGGACGTTCATTTGATGCCCCAGAACACCGCACAGATTGTTTTATAGTCATAAGAGGAAAACATAATTATTCAATGGAGAGATCAGACTGTCATCCTTTAAACCAGCAATTTCAGCTTCACTAGGGTTAGGCCAACTAAATACCCTGTAACTTGTAAAGTCACAGAACATGAAAACTACATCATCGACAATATATTCTAACCAAAATTGTTTATCTTGAATCCATCAAGCCTTTAGAGGTATCTTCCAGATTACATAAACACAGAAGACAGAGAGAAAAGTTAAATAACACCACAGGGAAGCAATAGGAGAAATCCAGAAGTTGGGACATTCTGTAGGACGACTGACTTGGTCCCTTCAACAAGCCAACTGTCATTAAAAAAAAGGGACTGGGCTTCCCTGGTGGCACAGTGGTTGAGAGTCTGCCTGCCGATGCAGGGGACATGGCTTCGTGCCCTGGACCGGGAAGATCCCACATGCCGCGGAGCAGCTAGGCCCGTGAGCCATGGCCGTCGAGCCTGCGCATCCAGAGCCTGTGCTCCACAACAGGAGAGGCCACAACAGTGAGAGGCCCACTTACCGCAAAAAAAAAAAAAAAAAAAAAAAAAAGGGACTATGTTAGATTTAAAGAGAGTTGAGGAACGTTAACAACCAGATGCAATACGTAGTCCTGGATTAAATACTGGTTTGGATAAATCAGCTATAGAGTGTATTTTGGGGTCAACACAGGAAATTCTAATATGGGCTGGGTATTAGAAAAGATAAAAAAGTTACTGAAATAGAAAGGCAGAGGCTTCTAAATAAGGAAAGCAGCATATAAAACAGTATGTGCAATATATCTCATCTTGGTTAAAAAATATATACATATATATACATACATATACCACAAATACATACATGTATACACCCACATATTCACAATAGAAAAAGGTCCAAAAGAATATGCACCAAGATATAAACAATGCTGAGTGATTTCCAGGTGGTGGGAATGTGAACTTATTATTTTATTTTTGCTGGTTTCAAGTTTTTTATGATGTACATGTGTTGCTTTTATAATAATAAAGTTTGGTTCATCCCTGTACTCCCTTTATGAGTTAAGAAGAAATATACTGATAACTCATAAAGCTGGACAGCCATACTTGAAAACTTCTAAGGAATATTTTTAAAATCGTTTACTTCAAACTGTTGCCAGCATGTGACCCTAACCAAAGCCCAGTAAGAGATACAGCCCTAAATCTGAAACTCAGTGTCTTTGAAGTACCATATTTTTCATTTGGCAGCTGCCAAAAGAAAATGTGTAACAAAAGAAAGGTCTCATTTTCTAAAATTTAATCACGTTAAGTGTTATGAGGGCAAAGTGCTATGGAGAGGAAGCACTTTCAAAAGCCAAAAAAGGATCATTCAAAAAATAAATTTTTGACACTGACCAATGCCAAGAAAATTTTAGCTCTCCATTTCAAAGAAGTCCCATCCCCTACTCTCTTTGTACTCACTATTAAAGAACTGAGGCTCCTTTAATCACCAAAAGGAATGGATTTATTATTCAAAGCACACTGTCATAGATTAATATAGTGGTTAACTTAAAACTGATACATCTGATGCCTCTTCCTTCTTTTCATGAAGCTATGTCATCAATTTTAAATAAATGAGGAAAGACATGTATGCCAATGTTGCTATGGTTGAAAATAGAGAGATAGAAGTGGGTGTATTATTTTTCAACTGTTGCATGACAAATGACCACAAATGTAGTGACTTAAAATAACACAGATTCATTGGCTCACAAACCCAGCACAGTATGGCTGGATTCTCTGTTCAGGGTCTCCTTAAGCTAAAATCAAAGCATCAACTGGGGCTGTAGTTCTTATACAGGGCTTGTAGAGTTTTTACAAGCTCACTGGTTGTTGGCAGAATTCATTTCCTCCTCACTTCAATCCAGCAACAAGGCACCAAATCCTTCTCATGCTTCAAATATCTCTGACTTCCCTTCTGTACCAGCTGCAGAAAGCTGCTCACTTTTAGGGGCTCATACGATTAGATCAGGCCCACCAGCTAACCTTCCTACCTTAAGGTCAACTATGCCGTATAACCGGGGTCCCTGACCCCCGGGCCACGGACCAGTATTGGTCCACGGCCTGTTAGGAACTGGGCTGCACAGCAAGAGGTGAGCGGCGGGCGAGCGAGCGATGCTTCACCTGCCCCTCGCATTACTGCCTGACCCATCCACCCCACTTCCGTGGAAAAACTGTCTTCAAGGAAACCTGTCCCTGGTGCCAAAAAGGGTGGGGACTGCTGCCGTACAACACAACATAATCACAGGGATGAAATCTCATCATATTCACAGGCAGGAATCAGGGCATGGAAGGTTTGGAGGGGGGAGCCATTTTTAGAACTCTACCACAGTCACAAAAAATTGTAAAACTTAATTAAAAACACCTTTCTTACCTGTTAATAATGAACCATGCAACAGTTAGCATTCCTGCTAGCCAAGTTCCACTCATAAGCCAACTTGTAACAAATAAAGCAGTGACATATATTCCTTGCAATCCAAAAACAATGCCAATATAGAAATATACTGGCTCAATAATCTCCTAATTGGGAAAAAAAAAAAAAGAGAGAAGGAGATAATAGGATGACAACATATAATTTTGAGGATTCATAAATATGTGAAAAAATAAATATTAAAGTCAAAAGAAACACATACATTGCTACCAGTTGCTTGATATAAAACGCTGGCAATAAGTTCTGGATATAGAGACATTTGCTGCACTGCATTTATAGTCTTCAGAGATACAGTTTTGTTATTGTGTGTCAGTTCGTATACACCTAAAGCCAGAAAAATTTTTCTCCAGATTATTTATTCTGCTTTTACAAGAATTGAACATGTTATTCAGAGGTCATTAAATACTTTATTATCAAGAAGGATCTCAAAATATAATACTCTGTGCCTCATTTTTCCAATTTTTAAATTAACTACAAGGAAGACCAATACCTATATTCTGAGACAAATCTCCACATTCAAGGGCTCCCACATATAAGAACAATGTTTTATTTTAGGAAAATATTGTTACTAAATATACAAATGTAGTTATCATACCTCTTTCAAATGAAGGTGCCTTTAACATATCCTTATAATAAGAATAATAAATGGCACTATCACCCTGAAATGTGATTTCCCGTTCAAGCTCCTAAAAGAAAATGAAATGATTATTTAAATACCAGTGTCTTAAATTTCAACTGCAATCTTTTTCTCTCCTCATATTCCAAATTAATGCTATTTATTTATCCTTTTATTCAAAGACATGTTTGAATTTTCCTTTAACCACTAGTAGCCATATTAATAAGATTAAACTTTTCAATAATCTGGCAATCACTTTAATGAAATACTTAAGGTTTAAACTAGATGGTAACTCGTAAGTTATTTGCCTATTATATATAAGAAAAATCTGGAAGGAAAACCCAAAGTAGTACCATAAGGAGAACAAGAACAGTATAGCAGGAAGTAAAAAATGATGGTTGAGGTGTCAGAAGTCCATAATAAAAATGTAAGTTTAAAAAGAAAGTATTATTTTTCTATTGCTATTCCACTTCCCTAGGTATCCAGAACAGCAAGCCCTTAATTAGGGCTTTCAAAGAGCAGCAGACAACTAACCAGTTCTTTTCAAATGAACTCCCAGAAATGTAAGTAAATCTTAAAATTCCTAAAATTAGGCTGTACAGAACCAAGAACATAGGTAGTCAAAAACACTGAAACCTGTGCTTTTCATGCTGAATCAAACTTTCATAAATCTATAATCTTTTAAAATGAAACATGTTTATTTTCATGCATAATTTTATCAATTAATACAAAAGATATCAGAGCAGTTTCCCCAAAGTTTGATCAACAGAACTTCCTAAGGTATTAATGGGTGTTACCTAAAAAGAGTTAAATAAGCTATGTAAAGGCTGGATTAGAGAAAAATATGAGTTTTTTCATTACAACTTTTCAGAGTTTCACTATTCATTATGCACTGAGAATCTCTATAAAGTCTTTCCTAGATTTATTTGACCAGTGAACCCTTTTTTTTTCTCATCTAGAGCTTATTAGTCTAAATAAATTTCCTCAAAATTATTTTTTATGAATGGGTACTGATTTTTCTTTCTAAAATTTCAAAGATGTGAACTCTTAATCAGTGCTTCTCAAAGTTAATGTTCATATAAAACTTCTAGAGATCTTATTCAAACATAGGTTCTGATTCTAAAGTGTGGCCTGAGAATCTGCAATTCTGAAAAAGCTCCCAGATGATGCCAATGCTCCTGGCTCATCACAATGCTCTTCATGAATGTCTTCTAGATTTTTAAACCTTATTGTTCTCAATTCTGCCTACATAACAGAATCACATGGAAAGATTTTGTGCAATATTGACCCAGACACTTGCCTCACCCCACCTAAGAATCTGTGAGGGAAGTTATTTTTTAAATCATCCCAGATTTTTCTATTGTACATCCAGTGTTGAGAACAACTAATACTTAATCTTCATAACATTTTCAAGGAAATAGGCTATACAAAATCCTTGGTCAAATCAATACAGGTGAGTAATTATTCAGTTAAATGTTTTGGTGGTGTTAGATAAATCAATGGCTTAAAAACATTTAGTCAGCTTGACTATTCGCTCAAAAATAAGAACAACAAAAAAGAGTTTGGGCTAAAACAAAAATAAAAAAACTTTAGAGTCAAGTGGTAACACCACGAACTTGGCCAATGTATATTACAGGTATACCTGATTGCGAAGGGAAGTCTGAAAACAAACTTATTCAAAGGCCAAACGAATTATGAATATAACTATAGTGAGTAGAGTCTGTGATTAACACATGATTTAAAACCAAACATTAAACATACTAATATGAGGCAACATTTTAATAAATACTGTTATGTCTGCTAATCATTTTCAGCACTTCAAAACATTCTAATCTAAAAATTAAAATATTTTGATGCTGAAACTGCCACAGACTGTTTCTTAAATGTAAACTACCAAAACTACGAAAAAGCTGACTAAACTTCATAACATTTCACTGTCATCAAAAGTCCCGATAAATCAATTGCATGAAGGAAAGCCCCCTCATAATTTCTGTTCTACCACCTTGAAATACATGCTATTAAATTTTTCAAGGTTGATACTGTGACTCAAGACAGCTTCTATACCATTTTGTTCCTACTGGCTTACAGCATAACATTAAGCACTTCTCGGGCTTCCCTGGTGGCACAGTGGTTGAGAGACCGCCTGCCGATGCGGGGGACACGGGTTCATGCCCCGGTCCGGAAGGATCCCACATGCCGCGCAGCAGCTGGGCCCGTGAACCATGGCTGCTGAGCCTGCGCGTCCGGAGCCTGTGCTCCAAAACGAGAGAGGCCACGGCAATGAGAGGCCTGCGTACCAACCAAAAAAAAAAAAAAAGAAAGAAAGCACGTGTCATACTTATCATGCATGTTTTGGCTCCCTGGAAAACACATTATTTAAATTAACATTAAATATTAAAACAAACGTTCATATGCTCAAAATTCTTTCTTCTTACCTGCCTGTTGGAAAACCAGAATTTCCGTTCATGGTACGCTGATAAATAGAGAGCATACATCATACCACTAGTAACTGCTGCAAGACAGCCAATGAATATCTTTGCAAAGCGCTGAAATAATATATCTGAAAAACCATATTAAAAGTAATCAGTTGTGGATGATATTTATATTTATGGACTTCTATTAAAAAGAAAAAAGTAATCAAAGGTTGTATGTATCCTTGATATGATGTGACAAAAATGGCATTCTAACTGTGGTCTTCCTCCCCAAAACCCATAATCCCAGTCTAATCATTAGAAAAACAGCAAATTCCAAGGGAGGGGCATCCTACAGTATATCTGGCCAGTACTCCTCAAAACTGTCAAGTTCATCAAAAACAAGGAAAGTCTGAGAAACTGTCACAGCCAACAGAAGTCTAAGGAGACATGATAACTGTATGTAATGTGGTATCCTGGATGTGATCCTGGAACAGAAAAGGACATTAGATAAACACTAAGGAAATATGAATAAAGTATGGACTTTAGTTAAAAATAATGTATCAATATTAGTTCATTAATTGTAACAAATGTACCATACTAATATAAAATGTTAATAATAGGGAAAATTCTGTGAGGGGGGCATGTAAAATGGGAACTCTGTACTATACTGTCTGCTCAATTCTTCTATAAATTTAAAATTAAAGTCTATTAACTTAAAAAAGGAATAAAAGGAACATACTACCGAATATCTAGAGAAAAAAAAAACAGGTTCATTCAGAATTACTATTGTTATTTTTTTCCTTATCAAGAAATGTTTTTATTGAGGAATAGTTTACATACTATAAATTACATACAGCTCTTTAAATTGTACAATTCAATGACTTTTGATGATTATGTATTTAAAACATCATATACAACATCATATACAAAGTATTCACATTATATATATGTAAATAATTTTTTTTAAAATTATTTATTTATTTTTTGGTTGTGTTGGGTCTTCGTTGCAACACACAGGCTTTCTCTAGTTGCGGCGAGCAGGGGCTACTCTTTGTTGCAGTGTGCGGGCTTCTCACTGCGGTGGCTTCTCTTGTTGTGGAGCATGGGCTCTAGGCACGTGGGCTTCAGTAGTTGTGGCACACGGGCTCTAGAGCGCAGGGTCAGTAGTTGCGGCGCACAGGCTTAGTTGCTCCGCAGCATGTGGGATCTTCCCAGACCAGGACTTGAACCTGTGTCCCCTGCATTGGCAGGCAGATTCTTAACCACTGAGCCCCCAGGGAAGCCCCTATGTAAATACTTTTTGACGAAAACATAAAACCCATTTGAATTTTGAACACACAGGATGATTTAGTCCTGTTATAGCTATTTACTATAATTCAGTATAATAATAACAAATACTATATGATTTCACTTATATGTGGAATCTAAAAAACAAAACAAATGAACAAACATAACAAAACAGAAACAGTGTCATAGATACAGAGAACAAACAGGTGGTTGCCAAAGAGCAGAGAGGTGGGGGGAGGAGAGAAATAGGTGAGGGAGATTAAGAGGTACAAACTTCCAGTTGCAAAATAAATGAATCACAGGTATGAAATGTACAGTGTGAGGAATACTGTCAATAATTATAGTGACAGATGACAACCTGACTTACGGTGGTGATCATTTTGAAATCTACAGAAATAGCAAATCACTATGTTGTGTAACAGGAACTAACATAGTATTGTAGCTCAATTATACCTCAAAAACAAACAAGCTCATAGAGAAAAAGATCAGACTTGTGGTTACCAGAGGTGAGAGGCGGAAGAGAGGGAACTGAATGAAGGCAGTCAAAATGTACAAACTTCCAGCTGTAAGATAAATAAGTACTAAGGATATAATATACAACATGATAAATATAATTAACACTGCTATATGTTACATATGAAAATTGTTAAGAAAGTAAAATCTTAAGAGTTCTCATCACAAGGAAAAAAATGTTTTTCTATTTCTTTAATTTTGTATCTATACAAGGTGTTCACTAAACTTTTGTGATAATCATTTCATGATGTATGCAAGTCAAATCATTATGCTTATACAGTGCTGTATGTCAATTATATCTCAATAAAACTATAGGGGAAAAAAAAGATTCAGTAAATTAAGCCCAGGCCTAAAGGCCCAAAGCCCAGTGTTACGTTGTTAAATGACTGAGAGGTTTATAAAGACAAACTGGTTGACTTATTAACTTAGCTATTTTCAAAACATTATTCAATAAATATTAATTTGTATAGTATACCAGAGACATTAAATAGAATAACTAGCTAAATCACTAAATTAATAAGAATTATATTCAAAGTGCTTGAAAGACACTACCCAATAAATCAAACATTAGAATCAGGGAATTCCCTGGAAGTCCAATGGTTAGGACTCTGCGCTTTCACTGCCAAGGGAGCGGATTCAATCCCTGATCAGGGAACTAAGATCCCACAAGCCTTCGGTGCAGCCAAAATATAAAAATAAATAAATAAACAAAATAAAAATTTAAAAAAATAATCAGCATGACACAATTGCTTTAAAATTACTGCTTTCCAACTGAAAAAGGATTAATCTCCAAAATATATAAGCAGCTCATGCAGCTCAATATCAAAACAACGAACAACCCAATCCAAAAATGGGCAGAAGACCTAAATAGACATTTCTCAAAAGAAGATATACAGACTGCCAACAAACACATTAAAGGATGCTCAACATCACCAATCATTATAGAAATGAAAATCAAAACTACAATGAGGTATCACCTCACATGGGTCACAATGGCCATCATCAAAAAAAAATCTACAAACAGTAAATGCTGGAGAGGGTGTGGAGAAAAGGGAACCCTCCTGCACTGCTGGTGGGAATGTAAATTGATACAATCACTATGGAAAACAGTATGGAGGTTCCTTAAAAAACTAAAAATAGAACTACCATATGACCCAGCAATCCCACTACTGGGCATATACCCTGAGAAAACCATAATTCAAGAAGAGTCATATGCCACAATGTTCATTGCAGCTCTATTTACAATAGCCAAGACATGGGAGCAACCTAAGTGTCCACTGACAGATGAATGGATAAAGAAGATGTGGCACATATATATAGTGGAATATTACTCAGCCATAAAAAGAAATGAAATTGAGTTATTTGTAGTGAGGTGGATGGACCTAGAAACTGTCATACAGAGTGAAGTAAGTCAGAAAGAGTAAAACAAATACCGTACGCTAACACATATATATGGAATGTAAAAAAAAAAAATGGTTCTGAAGAACCCAGGGGCAGGACAGGAATAAAGATGCAGATGTAGAGAATGGACTTGAGGACATGGGGAGGGGGGAAAGGTAAGCTAGGATGAAGTGAGAGAGTGGCATGGACATATATACACTACCAAGTGTAAAATAGATAGCTAGTGGGAAGCAGCCGCATAGCACAGGGAGATCAGCTCAGTACTTTGTGACCACCTAGAGGGGTGGGATAGGGAGAGTGGGAGGGAGACGCAAGAGAGAGGGGATATGGGGATATATGTGTACATATAGCTGATTCACTTTGTTATACAGCAGAAACTAACACAACATTGTAAAGCAATTATACTCCAATAAAGATGTTAAATAAATAAATAAATAAATAAAATAAAATCACTGCTTCCAATAGTACGTGTAAAGCATTTGGCCTGGCACATAGTAAGAGATCAGTAAATACTATTAATAGGCATTATTATTGGGCTACAGAAGCATACTTGTAAAAATATATGACAGATGGGCTTCCCTGGTGGCACAGTGGTTGAGAGTCCGCCTGCCAATGTAGGGGACACGGGTTCGTGCCCCGGTCCAGGAAGATCCCACATGCGGCGGAGAGGCTGGGCCCGTGAGCCATGGCCGCTGAGCCTGCGCGTCCGGAGCCTGTGCTCCGCAACGGGAGAGGTCACAGTGAGAGGCCCGCGTACCGCAAAAAAAAAAAAAAGACAGTTAATTAAAGCAATGTTGACACAATGTAAACTATAAACAGACTAATAAAAGAACTTACCTACCATGGCAATTTGGTAAAAGTGCTACAAAGTGTCTAAATATGTACCTTTTTCTGTTTTTTCTTTTAAATTAAGTCTTGGACAATGACAAATTAATCCTAATTATCAAGGGCTATTACAAAAAATATATTCAACCAAATCTTATATATAAATGCCTTACCTTAGTGCTATTTTGTTTATGAAAGATTTTGTAAAGAGTCAAAGCTGGAATCAAGCTATCAGTGTTTGGTATAAGTGTATATATTTTAGAGAAAATAAAGAGCTCTGGGCCCTGGAAATTATTTATTAAAAAATTATCAGGGGGCTTCCCTGGTGGCACAGTGGTTGAGAGTCCACCTGCCGATGCAGGGGACACGGGTTCGTGCCCCAGTCCGGGAAGATCCCACATGCCACGAAGAGGCTGAGCCTGCGCGTCCGGAGCCTGCGTGTCCGGAGCCTGTGCTCTGTAACGCGTGAGGCCACAGCAGTGAGAGGCCCACGTACCGCAAAAAAAAAAAAAAAAAAAAAATTATCACGGGGGACTTCGCTGGTGGCACAGTGGTTAAGAACCTGTCTGCCAATGCAGGGGACGTGGGTTCAATCCCTGGTCTGGGAAGATCCCACATGCTGTGGAGCAACTAAGCCTGCATGCCACGACTACTGAGCCTGCGAGCCGCAACTACTAAAGCCCGCGCACCTAGAGCCCGTGCTCCTCAACAAGAGAAGCCACCACAATGAGAAGCTCATGCACCACAACGAAGTATAGCCCCCGCTCGCCGCAACTAGAGAAAGCCCACGTGTAGCAACGAAGATCCAATGCAGCCAAAAATAAATAAATAATAAGTAAATTTATATAAAAAAATTATCATGGGCCTGGTGGCCTAGTGGTTAGGATTGCAGGCTTTCACTGCCGTGGCTCAACCAGCATTCAATCCCCGGTCGGGGAACTGAGATCCGGCAAGCCACGCGGCCAAAAGAAAAAAAAAATTGTAGGATTCAATTTCACAAAAAGTAAAAAAAAGAAAAGAAAAAGTATAAATACATTGAAAAAAATATAAGCAGTACTTGCCAAAATTTTAAGAATAGTTATTATCTACTGGAATTATGCATATATTTTTATTAAACTTA